AACCCGACCAGTAAACATTAGTAGGAATATTTGAGGTTTAATATATGGATAAATTTTATAGTTACGTCCTGTATCTTGGTTTTTTTTTTTTTTCTAATTATAGTGTTTCTTATTTTTTTTCTTATTTTTTTAATATAACTATAAAAATAAAAAGGCTAAAATGGAAGTGGTCGGGACATATGATCAGAGGAAAGGACAAATGGAGTAAATCAATTTTAAAGTTTTTTATAGTGCTAATCTCTGCACTTAAGATTGAACATTAAAACATGTAGAAAAAGTACGAAAAGATTGTCGCCGCTGTGGGAATCGAACCCACGTCTTCGGCATTCGCGGCCTGACGCTCTAGCCACTGAGCTAAACGGCTGCTGCTGGCTAGAGCGTCCCACAGCGGCGACAATCTTTTCGTACTTTTTCTACATGTTTTAATGTTCAATCTTAAGTGCAGAGATTAGCACTATAAAAAACTTTAAAATTTATAAAAAGCAATGGCGACATCTCTCGTTCGAATTATCGTTGTAAAACGATATTCGAAATTGTTTGTATGCTGGAAAGGATATAACAATAGATGCGCCAAGCATTGCTTCAAATGCTAAATAACAATGTAGAAAGAAGGCGTTAAGATTTTCGTCTCTGTGGTTATCAGCCGTTTAGCTCAGTGGCTAGAGCGTCAGGCCGCGAATGCCGAAGACGTGGGTTCGATTCCCACAGCGGCGACAATCTTTTCGTACTTTTTCTACATGTTTTAATGTTCAATCTTAAGTGCAGAGATTAGCACTATATAAAAAACTTTAAAATTTATAAAAAGCAATGGCGACATCTCTCGTTCGAATTATCGTTGTAAAACGATATTCGAAATTGTTTGTATGCTGGAAAGGATATAACAATAGATGCGCCAAGCATTGCTTCAAATGCTAAATAACAATGTAGAAAGAAGGCGTTAAGATTTTCGTCTCTGTGGTTATCGGCCGTTTAGCTCAGTGGCTAGAGCGTCAGGCCGCGAATGCCGAAGACGTGGGTTCGATTCCCACAGCGGCGACAATCTTTTCGTACTTTTTCTACATGTTTTAATGGAGTAAATCAGTTACACAATGGTACCCAAGGCAAGGAAAAAGGAAAAGAGGTAGACAACAAAAAAGATGGGACGATGATATCAGGCAGGTTGCAGGTATAACATGGACTAGAGTAGCCAGAGAGAGAGCAGAAGGGAATAGGTTGGAGGAGGCCTTTGCCAACTGGCAAACGAACTTTCAGGAGATAAAGAAGCACCAAATACACGAATTTTAATAATTTAATTAGTTAGTAGTTAGTAGTAAGTTATAGTGCAGTAGTTTAAGTAACAAATGTATCCTTAGTCCGAATAAAAGGCTTTATTATTATTATTATTATTATATATGGATAAATTTAGCAGAGTTGAGGAGCACATCGATAGTGACAGTGCGTGGTCAAATTGTTTAGGAGCTGATAATGAACGACGAAGAATTGCATTGTGCGAGGGCCGCTAGCTCTGGTTCTTCGCCTGTCACGTATTCACTGCTTAGCATTATGTTTCGAATCACACGGCGAGGCTTATCTTGCTGAAGCATCTCCGCGCTTAGCTGTTTACAGCAAATCCGTACTCGCAGTTATAAGTAAGGATCTACCATAGAAATCAATGCCTCTTTAGTTTTCCACGCAAACCTTCAATTACATACGTCCAATAATTCAATGACAATTGATCTTCAACATAGGAAAACCTATGGGATACTAGATGTAACAGAGAGTTGAATCTTTACATATATAATTCTTCTGTACGTGTGTATGTCACTGAAAGCCTTCTAATCGGCTGGACCGATTTTAATGATTTTTTGTGTCTTCAGGTCGATTCGAGAATGTTTAGCTTCACAATTCGGTCCACTACAGTTTTTTTTTCTAAGTTATCGAATTTAAGTCGTGTGTACTGGGCAACGTCTGTCGAGTCCGCCAGTTTAATTTATAACATACTGGCTGACCCTGCAAACGTTTTGCCATATAAATTATTTGTAGGGTAGAAAAAAATGTTTGGGGTGGACCACCTTTAACATTTAGGGGGATGAAAAATAGCTGTTGTCCGATTCGCCACCCTGGCCGATATGCACACAGAATACTATTTATACTGAATTAAACAATATGCTAAGCATTCGTTGTTCTCTATCTTAAATATTCAAACGTATTTGGACACGGTAATCTTTTATATGTATTCCAAAAAATTTCGATAATCTCTAATAGCTTTTGTTTACAGTTTTACTTACGTTTGTTGGTTTCATCATGGATTCATTTCATAAGGGAACGGATAAGGGTGTGAAAATGCAAACAATTCGCGAGTTTCGCTGCGCTAATTGTATGTTTGATACATATGACGAAAGTAATGGTTATGACTTGCCTCGGAGCTTATCAAGGACGAACTCTCATGAAACGTATGATGCGACATTTAGAGCGTTTGGAGAAGGTTTTGCTTTGTTATATATATGGTTTTTTTATAACATTTACAACACCCGGAATATTTTTATGGATTTATTACGTTTATTTCTAATTTTAGTTCAAAAAGTCGGGAACTTAAATTTAGAAAAACGCGATAATTCCACTCTAGCCCAATATCTTCTCCTACTTATCTACTTGGAAACTGCAGAGGAAGTGCTGAATTAATCAGAACACATACAAAATTTGTGTATACGCTTCATTATTGGGCTACGTAAATACGATCACTTTTCTGGCATTTATTTCTATTCAATTCTCTTACACTTTACTGAAGCATTCCTGAATACACACACACACACACACACACAATATATATTATATATAATTCTATCAACCCAATTTTCGCTTAGTTCGCTAAATACTCGCTTAAAGGAGTTAATCGATATTTTTGATTTAGAAGGTTAGTTTGTGATATTCTTTTCCTTCTATGTATAAATTTACTATTTAATTAAGCACATTAGATAGAAATTACAAGGTATTGATGGGGAACTCTCTCAGTCCGATAAAGAATATTAGCAATTAAAACGAAAGAAAACATTAAACTTTTCTTGTTCATGTCTAAAGTAGCTTATTGAAATCTTCATAACGTCTTCACGTTTGATGTTTGCTTCACGTTATGAACATCTTGTTATTCGGCTTGCTTACATGCAAAAGTCACTCGCTTTTGTGACTGGTGTACAATAATAAATTCGGGTCTTGTAAATGATAATGTTTATACATCATAACATTAGTCTTAATAAACTAGATGAAAGCACCACACACCATCCATGTCTTTTTTCCTAGTAAGGATTCAGGTTATATTTTGTCACAAAATAATATTCGTTTATATCGCGTGCCTGCAGCAAAGCAAACAGCTGTCTGAGTTTGGAACAACGGCCACGCTAGTATAGTTCATCAACAAACGCCAATTACACAGCTTTATAAGAAACCCAACGGAAATTTTTCAGGTAACTCGTAGGAGAATTCCAAGTTATTCATTTCTGAAAGGCTTTCTTTCATATTTGTATTTATAATCCACTGGAGTAAATTGACGTTTACGGTGTTAACAGTTTCGAATGAAAATGATAATACAGTGTTCTGAAAATGTGAAACATCATTTACTCGCTTTATGTATTTACTAATATATTTCCGTGTTATTAGTAAATATATAAAGATTAATAAGAAGCAGCGATGATCATCGGTGAAATATTATTAATAATCATGATCGACCTATACCGAGAGATTAATAACAAATTTTTGTGTTTAAGGAAATTTTATCATAAATACTTTTAAATCCTATTACGGTTTTATATGGTGACATTTATGACAATAAATATTACTTATGTGGATTTCATATAATTATGTATATCGTATATCGATAAAGCCAAGGTCATATTTGGCTTTGTTTTTCATCAATTTGCCTTCGCTCTTCTTTTCCTTTTTCTGTATATTGACCTCCTATAGTAACGGAATGCTGACTCCACAATCTTTTGTTTCATTTTTTGATACTTTTCTGGGTTTTCCCAAGAAAGTATCAAATCCCTCGCGGTATCTTTTTGTTTTTCAGCTGGGGTTAGAGGCATCGATCCGTTTAGCGGTCCGCGAATTCATGTAGGTTAACTAAAAAGTTAAAGCGACTACATACTTAGAAGAATCATTTTAGTTTCTTAACTTCAAAAACTCTATCAAATCAACTCAAATAATCCTTTGAAACTTATTTCTTTTTGAAATTGCTATAAACAATAATGTGCTCACTGTATGTTTTGATTCGGAAATAGGAACAATAAATGACGCTAATGTTCTTAAATCCGTATGAATCTGCTTCCGCGCTAACAATATCTTAATGGTGTATGGTTGTACTACTTTATATAGCTGTGCTACTTTCTTTATATACGCGTTCTTTTTTTTTTAATAAATGAAAAAAGACATTATAAAACTTCTCGTGAAAAAGTATTCATCAGAGACTCTCTTATTTGCTTTCTATTAAGAAAACGCTTTTCTATTGGCTTCAATCAAGTACGAAGATTGTAAAAAGTAAGAAGAAATGAATTCGGACTATGTTTAGATATATATATATATATATATATATTTGACACACATCAAACTACATTATCTAAATCTACACCCACATAATTAAATCTCAGCTTTTAATAATTCAGATAATGGCCAAGTGACGGCACGATGTTTTTAGCATTTTACTAGTGCAATTAATTTTTGTTCAAGCTTATACCTAGGTTGACATAATCGGTATTGACCTGGTTTTCGTAAACTGAACATCCATGTTTGAAAGTTAATATTGTAACTAAACAGAAAACACAGGAATTGCTTCGTTACACCACACCTCTGCTATTTGAAAATATATGGCGTTTTGGCGTACCTGGACTCCCAGAAGTTACCATGGGAACAAAACTGCTTGCGAAGGATTCGGGACTCATCGGACTGAACAAAAACGCTAGAATTTTTGTGTTATTACTTTATAAAATAACATATACATATGGCACTTTAATATCAACTAGTTATATTAGCTAGCGGATGCTGAAATGAAAGTAGAAGAGGCCATTCCAAGAATCGTCGTTCCGAATTGCAACAGGGCCCGGATGATGTCCAATTTGAGAGTCCAAAATGGAGATGAAGAAGAACTTGTAGTGTTCCCGCTGGACTGAAATTATTAATTAATTAATTAGTTAAATCATTACAATTCTTAAATTTGTAAATAATAGTTATAGTATCAAAAAATTATAAATATACACAATAAGATAAATCAAGGAGAAAATAATGCAACAGAGAAGATTAAAGGCCCATTTACACGATGCCATTTTCTTGTACATGCAAGAGCAATAATTGAATGCAATAAATTGCGCGCAATAATTGGTTAGACCATTTGTTGTTTAGACCATGCAACTCATTTATTCCTTCAATTTAATTGTATACAACAGGCAAGAAACTTGCACCGTGTAAATGGGTCTTAATAATAAATGATGGATAAAGATTATGCATTAAACATACAAGATACAGAAACATGAATAAATAGAAAACAGCGAATCAAATAACTCTAAATATCAACATCTAAAATAAAGTAAACGAATTTACGAGTGGAGTACTCGTCCCAGATCTATCTCTAACTTTCTGACTCTAACTATTGAAATTTTTATATCCAGTTTCCTTGGTTGTATATTATCGAGCAAATCATTCATCGTTATACCTGCTATGAAAACCAAATTAAAACTCATTAATGTGAAAATATTTTATTTAAATTACAAATAATAGATTCTGATTCACATTCGCTTAAAGTTTAAGCAATAATTTCGTACTAATTACTTGTGTTGCATTTGTCTTCGTGAACAAAGAAAGTTTGAAACATTGTGGTGTTTGGCCAGTGTTAACAAAGATCTTCAACTTTCAAACAGCCTAAATAACCTCCTTGTGGAAACTGTCAAAAGTGATAGCAACAAAACTATTTATTACTTTAAATCTATCATAAAATTTTCAACAACTAAAGTTTTAGACCAAACTAAATAGAGACGTTTTTTATCGCCACGGCTTAGAACTACCGCCTGAACTGGATTTCGACATATCGCCTAATAAAGACAAAAGAAAGCTGGACACGAATCCAGCGGAGTCAGTCATTGGCTTATTATCTCCACCCTCTTCAGAACTAACATCTGGATCACCGCCCTGAAAGATAAAAATAAGAAATTTTTACTTCGTTATACTGGGTCATTGAATAAATCAAAAATAAAATTACTAAACAAATTCCTACTTACAGCACTCGTACCCTTCACTAATTTAGTTAAAAAGTTTCCAAAAAATGCCCCATTATTTTTCTGTAATGAAATTTAATGTTTATAATTATACTTAGTTGTTGGGAAAAGTTTATTGCTCATATACTCCAGATGCTTTAGTGTTACAACGTACCGCCCCGCCGCCAGTTATAGTGTCTAATGAAGTCAGAAGATAGCTCGCTATAACAGCCCCAGGATTCTCGTCACCTTCAGACTGTGAAGTTTTATTTTAGGTGTGTATTCAAAAGTCTTAATCTAGACGATACGGTGAAAAATGAAAGAATAACATACCAATAATCCAACAAATAACCCAATACCAGACGCAATCAGACTGTTTAAATCTATTCCATCTCCCTGAAATGTTATATCTATTATGGTCTTCAACTTTTAGATCGAAATAAAAACATATCATTAAAATTAAGACTCACGCTCAAATTTGCAATGATACCACTGAAAGTTGCTAAAAGGGTACCCAAATCAGACTGGCCGTCCTCCTGAAACGATCGTAAAGAATAAGTATAATAAAATGAAGTAGTTGAAGATGATTACAGTTTTAAAATTAACCATGGATAGTGCTGATCCATGATTCGGTTGACTCAACAAGTATGCATCAAGTATAAATATTTATACTTTGACTCTTTATGCGGTGAGTGGGGTAACCCAAGGTCTCCCTCTTAAAGGACAGGTACAATCATCTGGTTTTGTGCGTTAATAGATGGCAGTATTAGTTGCCATCGTGTGAAATAGTCACCACCTGCCAAAAGAAACGGGACACACTTACTCCTCCGCTAAGGCCAGCTATAATGCCTAAAATCCCACCTCCCGCACCATCCCCACCTCCCGGTGGCTCATCATAATCTGAATCTTGATCAGATTCCAAATTAGAATCCGAATCTTGTTTAGAGGCATCCGGTATTCCGTTATTCTCCACGCTCTCCTCTCCCTCCTTATCCTCTTCTGTTTCCTGTGTCTTGCTGTCGGAGCTTTCTGAATCGCTTTCATCTTTAGTTTCCAATTTTTGTAATTGCGCCATAGCATCGGATATGTGAACTATTTCAACTCTGTTGTCAAGTTTAAACTGACGCCGAAAGGGCGCAGCTGTCTGTATCCATACTAGATATTTCCTTATTAAGTCCGCAATCTGAAAATGTTTTGTTGATAGAAAATTTTTAATGAGACGCAGATTCATGATCTAACGTGGCAATTTCAAATGTAAGTGGTATGCACCATTATTTTCTAATGTTATATGGGTGTTCTTAGTGCAATAATTATTACCCTATATTTGTGCGATGTTGTGCGGATCATCCAGTCTGCTATTAGCATATTATATATATACAGTCCAATGTCAGTCAATACGTGACACAAGGGTCAAATACTGTTATATTGTTTCCCAATTATAATTAAATATATGTACTTACTTTATAAGCCAAAAAATTGTTAAAACTTCAACTCTTCATTGCAATCCACCATGCAATGGTGATTCTTGATTAAAGAGCACACGTGCATGGAAGACGGAAAATTGTAAATCGTGAATAATAATCGTGTTAACCGAACCATAAAAGAAAAAAAGACTGCTTGCCTTACATTTAAAAAAGTTCAGAATTTACGTTTAAAAATGTCACAAACTAGAAAAGTACCGTTGTTTATGTGCTAATGTTTTTTGCATTGGCAAAATATGTTAACTTCCTCCGAGAACGCTTGTTTACTTCGGTTACCAATCAGATTATCTCTCTAACAACTGTACTTAGATAATAGTACTATCAGTCCATTAAATTTTGTTAGGTATCTCGAACGATAACGACAGTCCATTTTTGTATTTAGTTCTAAAGGAATAACCCAATTTATGTTCGACAATTATGGGCGAATATTGAAATGAATAGTAAAACCTTTTGTTACTTTTTCAATCGCACAATTATGATTCTGCGATTATCGTGCTTCAAACTTTCATGATGGGTGCATGAGAAAACATTAAAATTAATTATATTAATATAGAAGTGAAAAGTTGTAAGTTTTGACTCACAGCGGCCGAGCTAGAACCGGGGAACAGAGCTGAAATGATCTTTAGAATGCTGAATATATTGCTTCCACCGCCACTTGACGTCGTCTCTGAGCCGCCGAATTCGAAATCGTCGTCATCGTCGTCATCGAAAGGGTCTATTGTCACCGTTACCACTGAACTGACGGGTGCTGCCGAGCTCATGGACGTGACAGCGTTGTCTTCGATGTCATTCTAAAACACATTTATAGTTTTTATAAAAAGGAAGAAAATAACAAACAAGCTTAAAGATATAAGCAGGAAAAATAAAGTTGGTGATTGTGAGATAAAATTTCGTGCATTCGGAAAAACAAAAAGTACCAAATTTGACCGTTTTACCGTTTTATGGTACAAACGATCGATATCATTATCGATCAAAATAATGACGCACTTTGCCAGAAGTAACATTCTAAAAACAGCTCGTTGCTCAGTATGATCATCTAGTTACGAGAATTCATTACTTTGAGCATCTTCTCAATGTAATTTTTTAGGAACACAAGAAGCATACTTCTTCGTCTTTTGTTTTAAAAACATTGCCCTTACTTTAGGATAACATTATCCTGTGTTGTGAGGTTTTACAAACATCATTTAGTGGACAAACACCCAGATGCGGAACAACTGTCTGTTGGTCACACAAATAGTTGTCTCGTGTTGGAATCGAACCCACGACCCCCGACGCCGAAGCCAATGCCTTGGCAACTGCCACATCAGCTTCTTGATTCAATAGTACGTGCGTCATGCTGACGTTTCGTCAATTGACTAAAATTTAATGCGGTATCGTTTTGACTCGGAGTTGAGTAACATGCTTCCGCAATATGTCTATCTGATAGTATACTTGTACGGTGTATGGTAATGTCTATTATTAATTTATATACCTTTCTAGAAGGAATAGGGAAGGAATAGTCCTACTTGCCTATTTCGGTCTATTCAAAATTATTATTCAAAATTATTTATGAATTGTCACTCAGCGAACCAGAACACGACATAGAACAGAAACCTGACAATTTATTGTATACAGAGTGTCGTTACCATCGCGACAATAAATGAACACACGTCTAATGCTACTTGCCAATAATCATAAAAAAAAATATTAACGTTAAACAAAATCAATAATTAAAAAAAATTATTTTTCAAACAAACTAATTAAGTAAAAAAGAAACAAAATTTGTAACATCCTATACAACTCGCGCCATAGCGTCGCATTACAAGCCTCTCCTTCTAACAGTATGTTTTGTCTCTTTTAAATTCATTCAACCCATTCATATGCTTTGTGACCTTTATAAATGAACTTTACGTTACGCTTTTATAGGTAAGGATGTTCTAAAATTCTTTTTTTTGGAAAATTTAATAACTCTGTAAATATTGATGTTTAAAGAATTTAAATGTTTAATACAACTTTCAAAAGTTATCCCCTATATGTGTGTTCATTTATTGTCGCGATGGTAACGACACGCTGTATAAATAATGTGAAAGTTTCCTCGCGATAGTTTCACCCACCGCCGAGAGATGTCTGCACTTAAAATTGCAACTAACAATTTTATTCGTCAACAAAAGACGAATTCATTCCACACAAAAAATCCGATTGTTGATTTTATTTAAGAAAAATATATAATAAACAACTTACCGAAGTCTCAATATCATCAGTGGCTCTACGCAGCCGGTGTAAGGGGACTGGCACGGTAAAAGCATTTGCCAAAAGGGAAAATGATAAAATCGCAGCAAAATAGTATCGCCTCGCCATGACTTGTACTGTAACAGGACACGCAATTGACTAACGAAAGAATTCTAAAATCTAATAGAAAATAAGTTCACTTTAATAGGGCAGTTTCGTAAAAGTGAAACACATTATAATTCCATTGTCAAGTAATTAAAAAGATCGTTAAAGTTGTCGTATACGTATTCGTTAATTTGACAAGTATGTTGTCCGATTAAGAAAATGTAAAAACTTGCTTGACTAGACCCATGGAAAAATATTCTGTGATTCGTAAGACAATCGCCCAGCTCTGTCTTATAACACAATTGCGTTCTTGAATGAGACACAGGTTGTTCTAAAAGTCTTAAAAGTTTTATTTTTTTTAAAGTGCTAATATTTGCACTTAAGATTTAACATTAAAATTTGTAGAAAAAGTAAGAAAAGATTGTCGCCGCTGTGGGAATCGAATGCCAAAGACGTGAGTTCGATTCCCGTAGCGGCGACAATCTTTTCGTACTTTTTCTATAAATTTAAGTGTTAAATCTTAAGTGCAGGTTATAGCACTATAAATTTTTTTTCTAAAAATGCAATGGCGACATCTCTCGTTCGAATTATCGTTCTAAAACGATATCCGAAATTGTTTGTATGCTGGAAAGGATACAACAATGGATGCTAGAAAAACAATGTAGATAAAAGACGTTAAGATTTTCAGGTGGCAATCAGCTGTTTAGCTTAGTGGCTAAAGCGTCAGGCCGCGAATGCTGAAGACGTGGGTTCGATTCCCACAGCGGCGACAATCTTTTCTTTCTCTTTATACAAATCATAATGTTAAGTATTTAAAACTTATAAGATAGTTTATTAAATAAAACCACTAACTTAAAAACAATCGTAGAATATATAAAGACTGGATAAATTGACGATTTGATCGATTATAAAATTGCTAACAAAATAGTCATGTCTTATTTAAAATCAGTCAAGTCTAAATAATGTAAACCCGTATTTCACCTACACCGGTGACTTAGAATACATAAATAATAATTCCCTCAGAGTGATTTTGATACAGTTAGCACATCTTTATGATTAATCATTTAATGTCAAACATTTATATTCTCCACAGGCGCATCAGTTGTTAAACGTAACTATAGCATAAAAAATCGTAAAATTAACAGAACAACGTACAATACATAACAGTTATTATATAAACAGTTTATGTGTTACACTTAGATATATAATGTAAGTGTAACACATAAACTGATTGTGCAATGCTAAACTGGCTTGTAATTATTATCTAACGGATATGCCGTCGTTAGCAATGTAATTAAGTATGCAATAAATCTTTTATGTCAATGGAATGCCAATAAAGTAATTAAATTAGTTCCGCCGCTGGTGGAACATTGACCTTAAAATTGTCTTGAATCTCAGTGTAGGCGTCAATATAATATCCACTACTGTAAGATATACTTCTTAAGCAGTACATTTTTTAAATACTGATGACTCGGCGGCGCCGTTGCTAAGCGATACGGCTGCGGCGTCAGGGGCCGTGGGTTCGATTCCCACACGGAACAAGTATTTATGAAATCAACAGATAATTGTTCCGGATCTGAATGTTTGTTTCCCAAGGAGGGTTGACGTCAGACAGGCGGCTGTTCGTAAAAAAACCTAATCAGTTGTCACACCGTTGACCCAAAATAAAACCTAACCAAAACCATTTACAACATGATTTATATGTTGTGCCGACCCCAACTAGGTGGAATAAAGGCAGGAGTATAATGATAATGATGATGATGATTTTAAAAATAAACCAAAAGACTAAAGTTGAGCTTATTGGATATTGCTCTACATACTCCTATCAAGAATTACTGTCCACTTTACAATTGCTTGGTGCAAACAATCCCATTTTAAATCATAAAATCAGTGTGCTAATGCCACACTATTGACCCAAATTGGAAGTCTTGAGAGATGGAGTGTACAGGCGTTGACATTAGTTTATAAATCCAATCAAAATAAACACCACAGAGGGACCAGCAGTCACATACTAATAATGTTAATAAGGCTGCATCGCCACACACCATCAGGTGGGATGGCAGTCAAGTGCTGGCCAGTTCAAAATAAAAAAAATGTTGTTTTTTTTAATTTAGAAACATCCTATATAGCAGGGCGTGGAGGTTGTCATACGTACGCCCCCAGACCGACACGAGTAACGTTGCGGCAGCATTGCGAATCAAGACGGCCTCTCCTTCCGTTCCGAAAATTGTAGAGTGGTCAGAAGATTAGCAGTTTCCTAGAGCACGCTTCCTACGGCGATCGGCGTGAGTACTTTTATGGTTTGGTGGACATTTGCGTAACGCCGTCACGTTGACCTCAATGGAGAAGACGGTTCTGATGGATTTTAAGCTTGTCATAGGGTTAGGCGTGAACTAGAATTATTTTATTTTACGTTAGGATTGTTAACTGTGGTAGGACCACGCAACAGTGTTCACTGCTGAACGAATGAGCAGGTCCGTCCGGCTAAGTACCACGACCTCACAGAAGACCGGCGTAAAGTAGAAGTGTTACACTTCTGCGTTTCTTCTGGTGAGTGAGGTAGCTCGGGCCCACTTTATTTATAGGTTTGCAACGCATTTGCAACCCTACGGGTGTTGCAAATGTGCATGGGCAGCGGTTATCACTTAACATCAGGTGAACCGCAAGCTCGTTTGCCACTTTCTCACATAATATAAAAAGAACACTACATTTTGAGACTATTCAAAACCGTTTTGAACCCAACATAACGCAACTCTCGAGTCGCATTTCGCATTATGTACATAAAATTGAAGGCAGTCATTACATAAGAACTTCCACTGCACTGCCATCAAATTATTTTAACTACGTAAAATACCATCTCCAATAAAAGACTGCACAACACAACAGTTTGAACAATTAAGGTCAGTCGTAAACATTTGGTTAAAGTGAAAAAGTGACAGGCCTCAGGGCTAAGTTTTTTTTTGGATGTCGTTTCTTTTTTCAAAAAAACCTTTTGTTTAATAACCTTTGTGGAGTACCTAATCTTGCTGATATAAACTTTAATTTTGTTCTATTTTCAAATGTTTTTGACAGGTTTCTAAGGAAATTTCCATGCCTCTAGGCAATTGCATTATTGCATAATTTATAAAGACGTGTATTCAAATCAGTCGATTTTTTTTTTTGAGTGCATGGCTTTAAGTTGTCTTTCTTTTAATTACACTATTGTGGCTCCATATTCACAGGTCACAATATTTAAATTTGATAATTCGTTTACTCCTTCCTAGTTACATGTATGTTGAAGTATTATATACAAATACGAGGTAGATATGACACTAGCGCGCAGAAACTGAGGCACTCAAATGACACCAATTGGTGTAATCAGATTCCAATTCTATAGACTGCTATCTCTTTCCGTATCATACGATCAATATCATCAGTCACCAGTCGCGTGCATTCCAAACAAGAAAAAAGCATTGCATACCCTTACATAGATTAATTAATGATAATTTTACTTTAACTCTTTCCGTATTTATTGATTTCAGTACCATCTAATGGTGTTATTGCCGTCATAAATAACAATTTTACTATAACGATTAATAAATACTGTCTTACTTATCCGAGCATTGTTTCTTTTACCGTGAATCCACATGAAAATACTAACAAAAATAGTTTTACGTGCAATGTTTGCGCGTTTGGAGGCATACTTGTAAACGCGTCTATGGTGCAACCCGTCTATTTTAGGAAGTCGTCAAAGTATCGCTTAATTGTAGACTAAATGAAATGTGATTCATTCAGTGTTTTTATCGCCTTTTCGTTTCGCTTGTTTTTCTTGGCGCAAGTCATTGTCTGGTTTAATTTAATTGTTATAAACTAAAAGTTCTTCTATTTTAATGTTTTTATAATAATGTATCATAAGTAATTAAAATTGTGAAACATGCGATGATTAAAGTACTACATTTTGGCATTAATGAAAAAAATACATTCAAAATTATTATAATCCCGACTAGATATTTGAAACTCAGCGGTGGGGATTAGTTCTTGCGCTAGTGCTGTACTACTGAGGCCCTATTAGTATAATGTTAACGCTCAATTTTTATGTATGGAGTTATGGAGCTTCTTCTACAAGTATATTTTTTTTATGTGAGAAAGTGGCAAACGAGCGACAACCGTAGGGTTGCAGATGCGTTGCCACTTTTTAATAAAGTGTGCCCGGCCACCTCATTCACCAGACGAAACGCAGAAATATAACACTTCTAATTTAAGCCGGTCTTCCGTGAGGTCGTGGTACTTACCCGGACGGATCTGCCCATTCTTGCAACAGCGAAAACTATAGCGTGATCTTACCACAGTTTGTTGCGTTCCGTTCGCATATGTCCGTTTTGATTTGTAAACATTAACTTATAATTTAAGTTATCAGTATATAATACGTAATAATACTATATTTCATATTTTAATTTAGAAAAGAAACCTTAATATATTTGAAGATGCGTGAGATGTTAAGCCCCTTATGCAAGGGTAAATTGGTAAGTTTGTTTAATGCATACCCTGTCTGAAATCTCGTCACTGTACACGTCACTGTCTCTCACATTCGCTTGTATAATAAATATATCATATAATGTAAAGCGGAACAATTTTTAAATGCCGCGCAGTATGGACATGCGTCATCTATGTTATAAAACATTATTGGTTGACTTTTGTATAATATTAAAAATTTCTTAGTATTTTAATGATTGAAATATTCCTAAATTGTTTTATAGAAATATGTTAGAAAACGAGAAAAAAATAAGGGAATAATTTAATGAAATAATAAGTATTTAACTGCTGATGTGCCTATGATGTTTGAATTAATTGGAATTCTTGTGTACATTCTATCTTACCAGTTTCTAAACCATTGATGCAAATGCGAGAATACTTTGGTCAGGTTAAGAGTGTCTTTCAAAAATGTTACGAAATTGGACAAAACAAAATTCAACGAAGAAGCAACTCACCTTACCTATTATTAGACCTGTTTCAAAAAATTCACAATCCCATAAGAACACTAAATATCACTAGCGCAGTATTGAAAACTCGTCACAATTTCGTACAATATTCTTGATGTCGTATGATCACCTGTACTTTATTCATAAGACTAGTGGATTTTTTATTCCGCAACGAAAACAAAATCATAACGTTAATACAACGAAGGTCGCCGGCTTGAAGGTATTACTGGAAACGAGAGCGGAGTAAAAGGCCGTTCAAAACTTTATTAAACTTTTTATTTGCGTCCAGTTTTACCGACTTGCGTTAAATTTTACGCTAGTCCAATTTTTTATCATCTTCCAAAGGTCGATTATTGCAGAAGGCCCATAAAACCGGTACATTACAGTTAATGTAAATGAAAATTTTGGTCTAGATAATCATAATAATCGGCTCAGAACAACTAAACATACTAAGACTTGAAATAAAAATTAAATATTTAAATGTAATGCATTGCAACAATATTGTTACAAATAGTGATTATTATGAAGACTACTATTCATATATGTTCTACCATAACAGTAATGTTACGTGCATCAGTGTAATATTAAACATGTATAAACAAATATTAATAATTAGAAATTTAAGGTACATAATACAACACAATAGGATCAACTATGCAAACTTAACATTTGTACAACCGTTAATTATATGAAACTCCGGTAATTTAGCGTCTTGGTCGATAACGAAGTGAGATAGCAGATTAAATATTTTATCTGTGAGATTATTGTATAAGGTAATTAACCACTACACGTCGTAACAAAACACGTATATTAAAAAAAATAACTAAAACAGTACATTAACGTCCTCACTCGAAGATAATTAGAACTTAACCAGTAATAGATTATTGTACGTGTCAATTGAGATCTCATAAGTCTTTAAAACTGAAACTAAACTAGTGTAAAGAATTATGCTAGCTAAATGAAAATTATAAGTCTCTGAGTGAGGATGTAAATGTTACTCGCGTGGCGGTCCCAAATTTTAGTATTGATTTTTAAACGCAACATTTATGGTACCAATGCCGTTCGAACCTGTCGAACGAGTTACCTCTATGCAATACGGAGAAGGCCTCAAATCCTTACAAGTTTACTATATGCCGTAACGTAATTCAAACAAAGTACTAGTCAAGGATGCCAAATTAAATTTTATATACTTTAGATTGTTCATACAGATTGTTTAGCAATAATCAAAATGTGAAAGTAAATCTAGTGAAATAACAAAAGTATTCGGCCGCATACAGTCTATGGTCCTTATTAACAAAGAAAATAAGATGAAAGAAACGCAATCCACGCTGGATTAAAATAAAATTGCTATTCAAAAAGCACCAACGATCCAATTTACCTATTACCAAAAAAATACTATTACGTTACAATTGGAACATACATTCGAATATCATTACTCCATCATTACTTAAATATGTTGTAAGAGTCATAACCTCGCACAATTTTTTTTATACGCGGCTTGCAATGACAGGTAATATGGGCAGGAACGAAACAGGGTGATAAGTAACTTTGTTATTCCATTCGAGCTTCATTCCAAAGTATTACTTTGCTCATGCGAACGTAGACATTCGGCCCAGAGGCAGTATTCATTCCTATAGCATCAATCGGTGCCAACTGAAGCGTCGGCTCTGGGCGGTCTCAGCTTCTCGAGCAGTGGTATCGCCACGCCGACCAGTTCGTCCCACGCCGCCAGCCGCCTGCACGGCTCGCAGATGCAATCCTCCTCGCCCGCGATGTCCCCCTCCTCAAAGCCCAAATCCTCGCCCGAGCACCCGGTACCGTCTAGATCCGCGCCGTCGGACCTCGAATCTGGGTCCTCGCGGACGCTGGCGGATTTCGCCTCACTGGGAGGCGCTTCGTCCGCCATTTGGTAGACGCCGTGAATGTTGTCCATGTCGAACTTAACCTTTGGAGCGATGGAGAAATGAAACTTTATTATGTTTAAATGTGAATAATGGATTACGTTTTAAATATTTTAATGTAAATAATTTTATATCAAATTTACATTTGCATACTGAAGTCAGCCGAATATGTTGTACCAAATTATTATCACATTAAGATCACAACGTACTAGCATATTCTGGCAATAAAGACAATAATTCATTCATTCATTCATTCATTCACTGATTCATTATTTTATTTCAAATCTGCTCACCAATTGGAAGCGATCTTTGAGTAGACATTGAACCAAATGAAGTGAGTAACAGCCTGTGAATGTTCCATTGCTGGCCTTTTGGCCAGGAATGCCAAGTCTAGCAAGCAAGCAATAGCAAGCCTCTTCTGTATGAACGGAATTAGGGCAGAGTCCACCACGCGACTCCATCGCGGAATGGTAGCGTTCATATATCTTGGATATATTTTTTTATTATTATTTCGAAGTCAAGATGCTTTTCTTCGCCGATGAGCACTTGATAAATCTTAATCGTGATTTCGCCATTTAAAATTGTTATCAACAATTTCATTGGTGCCGCCACTTGAATTGAGGTGGCTCAAGAATATTGAATTTAAATAGACACTAACACTTAGCTATAACGGCCAATAAATAAATGTCGAACGAACGAACGGATGTTAAATGAAGGATGGATAGATGTCAAACGAATGAATTAATATTAAAAAAATGGGTATTAAACGAATTAGGAGTTGCCTAATAATGAAATGTAAATATTTCATTCGTGTCTGACTTTTCTAACGCACACACTTATTTTGCCGTGACGGCTTTCTTACCAACAAAATTCGGAAAGAATCCCTCGAATAAAAGCTTTCTTTGGCACGTTTTTTGTTAGTTCTATGCTGTTTTAAGTTTTAAATCATCTTAATCTAAGCACGAATAGACAGGTTCGTCTGGTGAATTACAACATCCTCATAGAAGACCGTCGTAAGTAGAAGTATCAATTTTCTCGTTTCGTCTTGTGAGTGAGGTAACCGAGGCCTACTTATTATAAGTTGGCAAACAACCACGACAACAACTGAGGTGTTGTAATGTCACTCGGCGGCTGTAACCACTTAAAATATACTACTATACTACTATTAGAACTACTGGTGAACCAGCAACTCGTGTGCCAACTTTTCACATAAAAATAGTTCACAGGATTGATTTGAATATGTACAATGAAAATTACATACATACGTAATTACATTTTTATTTTTTATCGTATTCATTTTCTTACAATAACAATGAGTGTTAACCGTGAGGGGAAGATACCGCTGTCTGTAACACAGTTGTAAACTATCACAGGCTACAGGCTTCTAATGACTATGTTTTTACACTTTTTGTAACCAATAAACTCAAACTCATATATAAGTTGTAGTCAAACGTTCAAAAACGGTAACAATCTTCGCGCGTCTGTACAGTACTAGTTTAATGGCGGGCTATAATAAATGTGAGATTAATGAGGAAATGTTTAGAGCACTAACTTGGTGTCGCTGGGATATTTCTGGATCACTCGCGCGTCTGTCGCCAGAGCGCGCTGCAGTGCACGCCGTGAAAACCGACTCGTCATCTGCCGACCAAACTCTCATTGAATTTATTCACACACTAGCTGTGCCCGCGACTTGGTCTTGGAATTTAAAATAAAAAAAAATCTAAAATAAAAGTAACCTAAGTCACTCCTTATTATGTCAGCTATCTGCCAGTGAAAGTCCCATCCAAATCGGTCCAGCCGTTTCAGAGATTAGCCGGAACAAACAGACAGAGAGACAGACAAAAATTGTAAAAAAATATATTTTGATATATGTACCGTGTATACATCCATAGGCATTTAGTAAAAAGCGGTTACTTTAATATTACAAACAGACACTCCAATTTTATTTATCTGTATAGATGTATCAAACTTAGCACAATACTTGTGTTATTAAAGGAATTAAGTCCACCTAGGAGTTAATGCCTGAGGCATTCGCTACGACAATCTACGTCAACCTACTCACCTAATAGGAGAAGTAGGTGTACAAGTAAAGAAAAAAATACTAAATCAATTAATACATTAATACATACAATTATAAATAGAAGATTATTAAAATAAATACCATTAATATTTATTTAAAATATTCAAACTAAGGCACAATATGTTTCCAATGAGGTTGCACGTATTTCACGTTCCTGAGAAATTTATTGCTAATAGAATATAGACTATAGCTATATGCTAATAGAATATAGAATTGCTTGATCATGCAAACTAAAGATACACTTATGAATTACGCGTATGAAATTTAAAACTGATATAACCCAAAATAAATGACTGTGTTCACTTAGTGTCAACTTAAAACAAAACAGTAATATCATAAATGTATGAGTTTCTTTTATTGTACATTTTTTAAAATACTTGAGTCTGAAATCAGCTTCACATTGTTCACATTATTTCTTGGAAACAACAGATGAATAATCAGTGTTTAATTTGCACACATATTTCAGAAACATTTCAGGGGCCGAGTACATATTCGGTGCTGGTGTAAAATTAAATAAGTTAATAAATCTAATAGACTCCATTAAATACTTATTTGAAAATTTTAAACAATAATAAAAAAGAAAACAAAAAGGAGAAAACACAAAAAGAGATAATTTGACCCCGACGTGATTTGAACACGCAACCTTCTGATCTGGAGTCAGACGCGCTACCGTTGCGCCACGGAGTCGGTTACTTACACGATAAAATTTGCCAATCTCTTTGATGTTTTACCATTGTCATGATAACAATTATTATTGGCACGATATTATTATCCAATGCTTCAAGGTTAGACTGTATTTAAATCGATAGATAACATTTCTTTTTCTTTTATTGTAGTTTAGAATTGTAATAAAAATATCGAGAATGTCTTACACGATTTAAATTAATTTATTTGCATACTTTAACTGTTGATTTGACATTATAAGTGTAAATCTTACATTTTTCTTTGAATTGATCCATTCTAATAATTAAGAAGATCATTCTGATCAATTCAGAGAGTTTAAACATTCTTTCGGCAACTCAAATAACATAATCCATTTGACAGCTGATTAGTTGACTTCTACGATGATCAGTGTTTCAGAAACCGGGCGTCAGCGTAGAGTTACAAATGCGTTGCGAAACGAAAAAGTATAACATTTCTTCCGGGCTTCCCCGGACAGTCCCACCTAATCTTCATTCGAATATTTCGAAGTGAAGTTTTCCACAGAGAAACAGGCGTGGACCAATTAACTACGGTACGAACGGCGGACGGCTAAGTGACGTTTCACACGACGTCGTAATCACAAAATTTCCGCAGGAAATTTCCAATGACGAGGTTCGCTCGGGGCAAAATTTTCCACCGAGAAACAAGCGCGGTAAGGAGGCGAACAACTTCATTTATTTTTTTCCCGGCGCAACGGACGCGGCCAGTGCCGCGGTACCATCATCGAAAACTCCAGTTCTATATTTGAAAAAAAAAAAAGTTTCATGACACGTACCGACGAAGGCGGCCAGTGCCGCGGTGATGAGCTGAGCGTGCGCGGGCGCGAGCGGGCGGTGTGCGTGCGCGTTCCACAGGGCGCGCGCGAGCAACGCGGCGGCGGGCGCGTCCCTGGCCTCCGCCGCCGCCCGCAGCGCCGCCGCCGCCGCCGCGGCCGCCGGCGCCGCGCCCGCACCCGAACCGCACACGTTCACCAGCACCCCAGCAGCCGCGTACCGCACGCTCGCGTCCGCTGAATCCGTTTTTGAATTTTTACTTCTTGTACGGGCCGTGATAGTTCAGTGTCAGAGCGCTCGCCTTCAATTCAATTTACTCGAGCAACCTGGGTTCAATCCCCAGCAGCACCCATGAATTGTTAATTTTAAGTGCTGAGTTATTACGTGCTCGGCGGTGAAGGAAAACATCGTGAGGAAACCTGCGTATTTTCGAAATAATAAATATTTCTAAATTATGTAAAGTCCGCCAATTCGCCGCGTGGTGGATTATGCCCTCATACCCTCTGTACAGAAGAGGCCTTTGCCCAGCAGTGGGACATTTATGGCCTAACTACCTTGAAGCGTTTGGAAAAAATATGAGCGTAAAGTTTCTGCGATGTGCGCGCACGACGACTCCCAAAAAGCGACATTTGGTCGCTTTGAAGCCAAATTCATCAACTTCTCGTTATTACCATGGCACCCAATAACAACTTTTGACATTTAAATATAATTCCAAGTTATTTCATTAACTGTTATCAATTGCGTTTAATGTCTTTTCACAACAAAAAGTACTGGCGTCGGGGATAAAATTTTTAATTATTTTTTCTTTTGTTACACGCATACTTTTTGGCTGCGCGACACAAGTGATGCCAACTTCATTTTGTTACTATGGCAATCAATAACAACTTTTTGACATTTACCTATAATTCCAAGTTACTAACTAAATCAGTATCAATTAACGCACGGGATAAAAAAAATTTTATTAATAAATTTTGATTTTTGTTACGCTAACGAAATATATAAGAACACATACACGTCTTTTTTAAATTATCAATAATCATACAAAATACCACAGACTATTACATTATTTGTATACACTACGTGGATTCACATCGTGCATAGACTGTGATGCATTTTAATATAGTTTAGCGATGAATGAAATCATATTATGTGACCAATCATATATTATGGTGGCTGGGGACGTTCAAATATTCTCCTTTAGGGTAAAGATCAATGTTCTAGTTCAAAAGACACTGTAAAATATACCGTGGTATTAAATAAAATAAGTAAAAGAGATCACCGTGCTCCTGAAACGGGGGCAGTGCGTCCAGCGCGCCTTCAAGCACTAGATATCGCGCGGCCCTCGTCGACCGCGACAAGTTGCCGAGTACCCTTACAGCTTCGCACGCGGCCAAGCTCGCGCCGTCACCATCCTTCCGCAGCCAACGGCAGCTGGCTGTTTACAACAACCATATGTTTATAAATCAAAACTTACCTATTAAACCTCTGTGTCCGGGCGCTCACCTTTAATTCAATTTACTTGACCAACCTGAGTTCGATCTCCGGTGGCAGAAGCAATGAAATTGTTAATTACAAGTGCTGACTTATCACTTTCTCAGCGATAAAGGAAAACCTCGAGGAAACCTGCATATTTTCGAAATAATAACAAAAAAGAGTTCCCAGCAGTGGGACATTTATAAGCTGTTAATTTACTATACTTTTACCAATTAAACCAACAAGATGGAGAGAATACTTCGAATGTATTTTAAGAAACTCCAAGGGTCCAAAGAATCCAAATAATCATTGCTAAATAGAAAAAGATCAACCAAATAAAAGCGTACTAAATGAGTCGCAGAAAGAAATTTAAAGTTTCGCATAGCCACAGATCTAACCAATTAAATTGTAAACAAGGTCAAAAAGTTGGAGAGGAGCGTGGTAACTCCCGTTCTCTTACACGTCTATGGCCGTCTATGGCTGTCTATGGCAGCTTCGCTAAGTGGGTTGTTTGAAAAATATCGTCCTTCACAACATAAGAAAACTTACCTCTGCAAAGCTGCTCCAGTGTACCGTCTAATGGATCTAAGGGTTCGGCGACTTCTAGGTAGAAAGTGATGTTGTTTAGCGTAGCGAGAGCGGCCGTGGCAAGCTCCTCCCTTCGCGACATGTAGCCGTCAAACTCCTTTTCCTCCGTGTCCGAGATCTTTTAAAAACAATACTGCCTCAGATGACGTGATACAAATAATTTTTACATCACCTCATACAAGGTGGTGCAAAGTACATCACATATCGAAAGGCAATGTCGAAAAAATTTTTGTCAACACTAAATGTCGGTGCGACGAATGACTTACAGTTTCATATGGCCATATTGTTTGCAACGTTCAGTGGATTATATTGTTCTTAAAATGCACTTTTATTTATTTTTTTATGGGAAAGTTGAGATGCAAGCAAGCGGCTCACCTGATGTAAAGTGATTACCGCCATGCGTGAACATCTGAAACCCCAGATTATTTGTAGTAGATGTGTTGCCAACCTTTACAAATGTGGGCCGTGTACCTCACGAATTACTCTTTCTTCCGGACTATGAGGCCGGGATGATTCTCTGGACGAGCCTGCCCATTCGTGCAATAACAGAAGCTGCTGCGTGGCCCACAGTTACATAAAGTAATTTAAGATAAGCAATTTCTCAAAATCATTTCCTGAACCCCACATGGACATTATCTCGAGATATTCTCCCTCCATTAAGTTCTCGATAGAAATTCAGAGATGTCATCTGGAACATGTCTACCAAACTTGACAGGTCTAGTTTTTGACGTTCAATAAGAGCTTACAATGAATATAGAAATTTCGACTGTGACTTTGACATGATTCAATAATTTCATGTAGACGTTACTTGTAGACTTGTAACTATGTACGTAGATTAATGATTCATACCCGTTTGTCATGAGCCCGTTCAGATAGATCCAAACATTCAAGTAATGCTTTGACAGTGCGCTCGGCGTGATGAGCCGCTATGCCGCGCCCGGCCAACTCAGCGAGACACAAGTTGGCAACTACCCGAACGGTCTAGACACACGTTTAAATGACATTCATTAACGGGCAATTAGGTCAGAACGTACGAAGAACTTATGTCGTTTTTAAGTGAAACCTCTAATGCGACTTCCAACAAGGTCGCGTTAAACGTTTAACACTACCATGGAGGGGTATGAAAACACTGTTGCGTTAAACGCTCAACGCTCCCGGGGAGGGGGAACAGAAAGAGACAGAGCGAGAGTGAATGCGTGGCAATCGAAGTTGCACTTTTTCCGCGCGGAGGGACTCCATGCACAATTTTTTTGTTTTATGTGAGAAGGTGACAAGCGAGGTGGCCTGTTGTTTAGTGATAACCGCTGCACATAGCCTGTTGTTAAGTGATAACCGCCCACTGACATTTGTTACACACGTAGGATTGCAGATAAGTCGCCACCTTTTGATAAAGTAGGCACCGGCTGTCTCATTCACCATATGAAATGCAGAAGTATAACACTTCCACTTGACGCCGGTCTTCTGTCAGAACGTGGTGCTTAACCGGATGGATCTGCCCATTTGTAAAACAGTGAAGACTGTTGCGTGACCCTTCCAGAGTTAATGTGTTAGGAAGAACAAAGAAGATAGTGTATATATAAAATTATATATTTATAAATAACTTAATAAGCGGTCTCGATAGATTTTTACCTTAATAAGGACGTCCTCATTGGAACCATCTGAATCACCGAGATCCGAACCTAAATAAATTGGTTAATTAGTTTTACAAATCTGTGAATTTTAAACAAAAACTATATATGTATTTTAATTACTCACAGTATAAACATATCACTACATAGTATAAAATAAAGTCGTTCCGCTGTTTGTCTGTCCCTATGCATGCTTAGATCTTTAAAACTACGCAACGGATCTTGATGCGGTTTTTTTACTAGATAGAGTGTTCAAGAGGAAGGTTTATATGTATAATACATTACATAATACATTGCACCCGTGCGAAGCCGGGGTGGATCGCTAGTGAAGGGATAAACAAAAAAACTTTGAAATAAAGCGGTACAACTCTCACCAACTAAATGCAGGTCGGGATCAGTTTCTTGATCCTTTGATTCACGTTCGTTGCGTTTCGTGTAAGATTCCAATATGGTCAGAAGCACGTCCACGCCGCCAACTTCGTTATAAATCTGAAGAAAGTTTACATTTAAAACAATCTTTCTGTAAAATTATTAAATCAATCTTTCTGATTTGAAAAATGCTTATGCAAAACTGTAATGAGTTTATAAGATCATTATACAAAGTCACTAAGCAGTATTAGCAGTAAACTAAAATGTACAGTCTACGTATCCATATGTATATGATAATTAATAGCTAGTAAGACTAGGTGTACTCCATAAAGTACAAAACTGAGGTAACAGCCTATGTATATCCACTGCTGGGCAAGGCCGTCACTGCAACGGCATTACTCCACCACGTGACCAAAGTTTCCGCACGATGTTTTCCTTTACTATTAGGCACTAGATAAGCCAGCACTTTAAATTAACAATTACATTAAAAGCGACCACCCGGACTGAGCTATCACGACTCATAAATCTATTATGAGCCGTGATGGCGAATACTGAGCTATCGCAGCTCATAATAGATTTATGAACCGTGATATCACGTGATGTCCCAGTATCCGGGCAAAGGGTGTTATAAGGTAATGCGCTTACGTTAATCCTGGCGCGCTCGTCGGCGGCGGCCATGTTGCCGAGCGTGTAGGCGAGGCGGACGGCGAGGGGGGCGCGGGGGGCGCAAGCGGCGAGCGCCCTCAATAGAGCCCCCCCGCTAGCAGGGCAAGCGCAAAGCCACTCACAGCAGGGTCCTTCCGCCGACAGCACGCTAAACAGCATAGCATACCCACATCTTGATGACTCCGTGGCGCAGTTGCCAAGGTATTGGCTTCGGCGCCGGGGGTCGTGGGTTCGAGTCCCACACGCGACAGCTATTTATGTGACCTACAGATTATTTTTTTTGTATCTGGGTGTTTGTCTAAGTGTTTATGTATGTGTAATGTCCTTACGATACAGCATAACATTATGGACAATCATATTAGATCATACAAGATAAGTTAACATTAGATCATACAAGTTAAGTACAACAGTAGGGACAATCAAGAAAAGACTACTACAGCAGATCCTTCGTTCTCACAGCGTTCGTTGGGACTTACTACCCAAGACCTTACACAAAATACAAATACCCCTTCTTCGTTTGTGCAGTACATAGCATCATTCCTTTTTTTCCTGACCTGCTACCCAGCGAGCAGTGAGATCTGCATCGCCTACGGTATAGTATTGCTGACCTTTAGAAGAGTAGTGTCCGGTTACCTCGTCAGTCGAAATGCAAAATTACAATTACCGAGCAATAGCAGAACATTATTTTATCAAATCACTAGTATATATTCTTCGATAGAGGACAGCATTCTTTTCAACTCAGACCGATCTTGCCTTTCAATAGAGGCGCAATCATGACTCTTACGCATAGAAAGCTATATTTACCTCTCAAATCTTTCATCTGCATCGAAATTTTACATATATCTCCAATCATTTACATTAAAATCGCACCCTATAAACAACTTCGTTGCTGTCAGGCTTAAAAGGAACAATACGCCAAAAGTCAGCAGAATCTAACAAAGTTTGCCAACCTCAGGCAACGTGCAACGTTAGTGAGCACATCACGATCGGTGTGCAGTGTCAAGGCTGAGAGAAGTTCTGCGAGTGCACCACTCGAAACAAACGCACTAGCCGCCTTCGACCCCCCGCTCGCGAGGTTCCGTAGAGCACCAGTCAACTGGTATAGTGCGTGCGTAGCCTGCTCCTGCACTTGTCGAGGCCTCTCCGTCTTCTACAAAATGTTAACACATCAATCGATCTTTAACGATATTAAATGCTATAAATGCCTAGATAGGTCAGAGTGGAAGAGGTTGGAGGAGGCCTTTGCCGATTGGCAAACAGATCTGCAAAAGATAAAAAAGCAGCTGATATTAGAATAAGTTTTAAATTTGGTTTTAGTTTTAAGTTTGCTTTGGAATATTGTTATGAGCGTAAGATGATCTGAATAAAAGGCTATTATTATTATTATTATAAAAATGCTATAAATGGATTTCTTATCTATACCTCTATATAGACAAAAAAAATTGGAGTGTATGTTTGTAATATTAAAATAACGGCTAAATAAATGCATATGGATGTGTACACGGTACATATCCAAAAATAACATTTTTTACGATTTTTTGTCTGTATGTATATCTGTTTGTTCTAGCTATGGTCTGATACGGTTGGGCCGATTTTCACAGGTCTTTCACCGGCGGATAGACGATGTAATAAGAAGTAACTTAGTCTACCTTTATTTTAGAAATTTTATTTATTCTTATTAATATTATCTATAACATAATTCTACGCTGAAGAAGGCGCGGGCACAGCTAGTACAAGATAATAAGCACTTATTTATTGATCTCGTATGCGAGAGGCAGAAGTGAATGGTGCCAAATTTATTGAGGCTAGAATTTTCGATACCATAAAAATGTTCCAAAACCGAGAGCTCCATAAGCCAGAGAAATCCGATTAGGTTTTATTTAAAAAATTAAAACATTCTAAAATCTCACACTTTCCGCAATCACAACGTCGATAGGCAGCTGTTTTACTTCCACCATTCCACAAACAGATTACGCGTTTCAACAAGCAGACTTGGCAAGAAGGTTAGCATCGAATTAAAGACATTTTGTCGCCATCTGAGCCCGCCGGCACTTTCATACAAAGGCCAAAATGTGGTAGGACCAGGTAGTAGGGTTCGCTGTTGCACAAATGGGCCGGGTAATTACCACAACCTTACAGAAGACCGGCGTAAAGTGAAAGTGTTATACTTGGTAAGGTTCTTAACATTAACGTTAAGGTCGCTTAACATCAGGTGAACCGCCAGTTCTATTGCCACTTTCTCACATAAAAAAATCGCTTTCTCTTGTTGACTGTCTGTCTACAGGCATTTGCATTTTGAACTAGTAAACAAGGAAAATTGAATTTAGCGTTGCCATCACAATATCACATCGTCTGCAAACACAATAGACAAATAATAGATTTTCTCTAATTTATGTGTTAATGCACACATAAATGAGGGCACTAGATGGTGTGACGACCTGTGCAAATGTGCGGGAAGTCGATGGATGCAGGTGGCTCGGGATCGTGCTTCGTGGCAGTCGGTGGAGGAGGCCTATGTTCAGCAGCGGACTCAAACAGGCTGAAATGATGATGATGATGATGGTTTTTTTTATTTGAAAAGTTGCCAAGCGAGCAGGCGGTTCACCTGATGTTAAGAGAATACCTCCACCCATGGACATCTTCTACACCCGAGGGTTGCAGTTGCGTTGACAACCTTTTGAAAATTGGGCTCCGGCTACCTCACTCACCAGACGAAACGCGAAAGTATTATACTTTCACTTGACGCCGGTCTTCTGTGACGGTCGTGTTACTTACCCGGACGAGCCTGCCCATTCGTGCAACAGCTGATGCTGTTGCGTGGCCCTACCACCTATGGTGATGAAATGGGGGCAAATTATTTATCAAATTTATCAGTTCGCTGACCGCGTTGTTCAGTATCTTCAGATGCAACGCGGCCAGGTGCAGGGCTCCGGCCTTGTGGGCGAGAGTGCATAGCCTGGGCTCCAATGCCAGGAAGCGCAAAGCGCCCGCGCCGTACACGCAGCATTCGCTCTCAGCTAGTGGGTCCGCTCTCCCGCACCCCTCTACCAACAGCTCTACGGAACATTCCGAAATTTCCTTTTAATCAACCCCAAGAACCTCTCCTGAGTCATGACCGATGTTGATGCTAGCAAAAATAACCCAACACTGAATTACAACCTATGTTATAAGAGAAATTATCTTATTTGAAATGCATGTAATATTCCTTGATCTAAATTAGAAAAAGTAGTTTTTTTTTGTATTTTACTTAATAAAAAAAAAACACTTTCTCAGTTGGTAAAAAAGGAAAAATAAAATCTACTTTATATCCTACTTCGCTAACAATTCTACGAAAAATAGATGCAGTTGCCTCGACGATTCCTTTGAATTAGGCAAAAGGGTTTTTCCCAAATACATCTTAAAACGGTGTATTATAATAACAAATTACGTTGATCGTATGAGCAATACAGCAACTTGTAGTATTAACAATCGACGAAAAACTGGTCTTAAAGTGTATTGTTTAAATGTGGAAGGTAAAAGATTTCCTTGACTCTATAACAACCTTTGTTGTACTAGATTTTACTGCAATTAGATCCATTAATTTTGCTTTGCGTGAGAAAATTCCTTTTAAAAATCATGGATTCCTTGATAGGGATTGGGCCAAAGGCAGGGGTCCCGGTCAAAACGGGTATCCACTAAAAAAAATTACGTTGCACCGCATGCTACAACGTTGTTCTTAGAGTATGCACTCCAAACGCATCTACCATTTATAATTACCCAATAGATTGCTGTTCCTGAAGAAGTGGTCGTTCTTATCGTTTCTGGCAATTTTGAACACCAGTTTACACGCCGCTGCCAAATGTTTACCGGTCACCCGCATCTGTGATTATACTGCTTTAAGCATTTAAAAAATTCAATATTTCCTTCAAACATTTCTGACGTTAAGAAATTAAATCAGGAGTTTAACACAATTTATCTACATAGTACATGGTGTATAGTCTAATAATAGTATCTATTATTATGTAATATACCGTTTTTACTTTCACGCCAAATTATTTTATATATGCAGATGCCTTACTCTCTAGCTCCAAGTTCACTGGTATATTCTCTGCTACTAAGTACGCCATTGTACCAAATATTGTGAAAGTTTAGTTAATTATGTTAATCAGTAGTTAATTATATAATTTAAGATTCGCGGTATTTGTATAAAGACAATTTTTAATGTCAATTGAACATTCTGATTCCACTTTAGATATTTAGGTTTTCCCCACTTTTGTCACTATTTTTACAGTTTTATAGAGGTTAATATCATTCGCGCATACATTAGTATTAATTTTTTCATTACATTCAACTGCCGTGTTAAGTTTCAATAATAATTCCGTATCGCGATTAACAACATCACAGAGCGAACCTCGTAACAAGCACTCGTATCCGAAACATTTTTTTTTCTCGCGCAAGGATCGAATCCCCAACACAGAGGGCCGCATACGCCAGCCGACTAGACAACATAAGACCATCTTTATTCATGCGAGAATTGCGGGTTATGTTGGAAGGTAGGGTTTACCGTCAGCATAGCCCTCGCTATGGCCACCAGCACCCGCTCATCTGCGCTGTCGATATGGACGTAGAACGAGCGCAGGACCAGCTCCCTCAAGTTGGTGGATGGCAACGTCCTCTCCAGAACGCTTTGCAGCGGTTCCATTAGAAGCAGCACCTTCTCTGGATCGTTCGAGCGCTGCGTCGCCAGCGCCTCGGCGAGTTCCAACGTAGTCATACTGCGACAATAATACTAATAATAATAAAACAATGATTATTATAGTAATGATAATTATAATAAGATATTTTAAACACGTTATTTTTTCTGACCACTTACCTAATATTCTCTGTACCACTCTAAAGTTGACTAGGAGATAAGTCCATTGGCATTGAATCCACTAAAGTCTAGTACATTAATAGCTTCACAAGGTTAAAAATATTAATCTATAAATGGCTTGGTTAGCTTTGATTTTAATTTATTCATTAAATGCATCAACAAATGTACATGTCATGTACGTGTCATGTCGTTGATGCATTATAAAGAGTACTCTTTAAAAAATAGACCTCTCCTGACAAATCCGCTTCCGTGCCTCCATACCTCTCATAATTGTCCAATGACGCGTTAGGCAGCTGAAGTGCCAAGTGTTTGACAGGAATGTCTCCAAGGGCGGACGCACCGTCGAAGGACGTAGACTTCATGTTCGCGAAGTTCCTTCGTTTGTTGGCAGTCGAGTCCGAAACGACTGCTGCAAAGGGACATCGTATATTCCAGCACTAAATAAGAAACAGCCGTCATCAGCCGGTTGGCGTACAGTAGTGACTGAATGCCTCCCGTTTAGAACGATAGAAAGTAGGCGTCTTCAAGGCAAGAGTGAATAGGTTTTTACTGAACTAGCGCGCTTACCATCAACGGCTGCATCGCCACTTACCATCAGGTGGGATGGCAGTCAAGTGCTGGCCAGTTTTGAATTTAAAAAAATAACGATGCCATAAACGACACTTCGTCATTTATAACTTTTTTGTGTCTTCTATTCGTTGTAGTGTTTACTCTAATACGAGATGTTACCACCACCGTAGACGAAGTGGGAAATTCGAAACGTGATTTTATAACGGAAAATTAAACTGAATAAAATTGGTAACATACTTGTAGTTTTGTTTAAAAGCACTAACTCAATATAGTCGGCGTCTTCTGGAAATAGAGCCGTGATAGCTCAGTGTCCGGGCGCTCGACTTTAATTCAATATATTCGAGCAACCTGAGTTCGATCCCCGGTGCCGGCACCAATGAAGTTTTTAACTTTAAGTGCTGATTTATCACGTGCTCCGCGGTGAAGGAAAACATCGTGAGGAAACCTGCATATTTTCGAAATAATAATAATAATACGACCCGAATGGCGTAGTGGGTAGTGTACCTGCCTCCGGCGCCAGAGGGTGTGGGTTCGATCCCCACTACTGGAAAAATATTGTGTGATGAACATGGTGTTTTTCTAGTGTCTGGATGTTTCTATATGTATAATATGTATTTATTTACAAAAGAAAAGTATGTTTAAGTATTTTTATCAGTTTTCTAGTACCCATAGTACAAGCTTTGCTTAGTTTGGGACTAGAAAATGTTGTGTACAAATGTGTCCTAAATAAAAAAATATTTTTCGAAGATATGTGAAGTCCGCCAATCCGCAGGCCGCGTGGTGGACTATGCCCTGATACCCTCTGTGTAGAGGAGGCCTTTGCCCAGCAGTGGGGCATGTATAGGCTGTTACTTTACTTTTTTTACTTTACTATTTTAAATTAAGAATGAACAATCCTACAACGTCTGACAATGAAATTTCTTACATTTGGTACCGAGAGCCTCGTTCGACAGTCCAGCATTAGATGCTTCACTGAGATTTATATCTAAAGGCCTTGTCACTGAAATAGCCTGCGACAGATTTGACACAACAGGAGTTCCTGAAATGAAAACTTTTACTGATTTGTTGCTTACGTATATCGTAATGATATACGTATCCATAAAATTACATCATATATTTTATATTATACATATATTTGACCACAAAACATATGAGCCTATGTAACTTTTAGTAGTCTATTCTAATATTATTCGAAGCTTATTTGAACATATTTCAGGTTTAACTAGGAAACCTCACCCTGCTAGTAGGAAGAGTAGTTTCCCTTCCGAATATAACTTCGGGGTAAGAGAAATTTCTAGCGATCCAGTGCGTTTACCATCTACATCCTTATCGCTGCTAAGCCAGTACGCTTGACGGTAAATACTAGCCAGTTTCTTTTAAAAATGATACCCTTATAATTAATCTATTTCATTATTTAAAATAAAGAAGGAACATTTGATTTGTTGCACCGACCAAAATTTCTCATCACGTGGAGTAGATCCGCGCTTTATAATCCCTATTGAAGCGTTGCTTCATTGTTTAAATAGATAAATCCTTATCAAACTAGACCAAAGACTTGCCATCCACTGCCAGTTGCCCAGTGGTATTTCGCCGATGCAGCGGTTTGCTTCTACCACTCAAGTGTGGCAGCTTTGTGAAGGCGCTCCATGTGATGCCGTCAGAACGCTCGCCGGTAGATCGAGGCTGGTGACGCGACTATTAATAAACGTAACTTTTAGCTGATTGTATATAAAGTTAAAATCGGGAATAAATAAAGAGGTTGATTATTTAAAGAATAAGTTTTTGCATAGTAGATTAATAAAAAAAAATCATCTAAAATTCTATATTCAAACGTGTTCATGGAATTCATTATCGACTTCACTATGACGGTTCTTCAATTGATATGTTAAAAAATTGCAGATTGCAATCAATTATAGCTAATATTAATTTTGCTTCACACCAAGAATTAATATACATATCATAGCTAAGTATTACTACCTATATTATAAATAAAGCTTATTACCAAAGTTTCCTTTTTGGGTGCATGTTTAGTTTCAGTTGTGTTCTGCGCCACCTCTTCGAAAGTGTGGGGAGTTGATGCGCTTAGTTCAGTTCCTTCGCCGTCTTCCGATAGACTCAAATATTTAAGGCTGCACAAAGAAACATTAGACGTATCAAAAGGAATCAATGTTTCACGCTGTCTTATGTTTTATTGTTATAGAATGGATTGTATTAAAATTCCGCGGATTTGAAGGTAACGAGTCATTTTTTTATTATTATTGAAAAACAAATCTGACTGAATATCTCGCTCTGTATTCATTTTATAATTGATTTCCAGGAGTTCCCTACGCATCTCCGGAGCCCAAGATCCAATATCAATTAAATTAATACGAGACCACACGGGAAGTACCAGCTTTCAAATAAATAAAGTTCATCAAAATCGATTCACTCAGTTCAAAATTCCGAGGTAACAAACATAAAAAAATGCAGTCGAATTGAGAACCTCCTCAAAAGAAGCTGTGGTTTCAGTATATAAGGAAGCTTTGTACTTCCTTACACTCTGAAACCACAGCTTATGACGCATTTAAGACGCTAAATCGTAATCGCGATTTCTAATCGAATTGGAAATGACAAGGAAATGGTGTTAATGGTATACTCTTATTTTTGTTTCATATTTATGTTAGCATCATGTCAATCAGAGGTAATTACGTGATATTTACGGTTTCATAAAATCTTAGACACTGGCAGCATGTAGATGCCGCGTGTATATAGAAACCGTAAAGTTGGGATAACATTGAATATTCGATTTTTAAACATCCCAGTAAAATGCCAATGATGGACGTTAAAATTCCACTTTATGATGACTCCGTCCATGGCTTCGGCGTCGCGGGTCGTGCGTTCGATTCCCACACGGGACAACGATTTGTGTGACCACCAGATAGTTGTTTCGCATCTGGGCGTTTGTCCGCGTGTAATTTATTTTTGTAAAACGTCCTAACAACACGGGATAATGTTATTCTAAAGTAAGGGCAATTTAAAAAAGGAAGATAAGAGAAAAGACAAGATTACTCGAATGCGCTCGGCGGTCTCGCGTCGCGTTTTCGCGCGCGCTCAGTGAAAAGCGTGCGCTGGGGCTCGCGCGGCGTGTAAGGTCGCCGCGTGCGCAACGGCCTTAGGGCCCCTGAACCTCCTGAGCCGCCATCACCGCCCGATTCTGGAGAATATACATCAACATCATCATCAGACTTCCATTGTTAAACAAACGCCTTCACCTTAGAACGCCGCCACAATGACGGCGATGGTTGCCGTTCGCTCCCGAAAATTTATGTGTCCTTTATGTGTCCCACTGCTGGCCAAAAGCCTCCTCTGTAGTGTTAAGGGTTTTAGGGCATAGTTTACTACTCATCCCACAGAGGATTGGCAAACTTCAAGTATCTTCGAAATATTTTTATGTTAAAAAAAAAGTAAAGTAACAGCCTATACATGTCCCACTGCTGGGCAAAGGCCTCCTCTATACAGAGGGTATCAGGGCATAGTCCACCACGCGGCCCCACTGCGGATTGGCGGACTTCAACATATCTTCGAACTATATTTTTTTTTTTGTTATTATTTCGAAAATATGCAGGTTTCCTCACGATGTTTTCCTTCACCGCGGAGCACGTGATAAGTCAGCACTTAAAGTTAAAAACTTCATTGGTGCCGGCACCGGGGATCGAACTCAGGTTGCTCGAGTATATTGAATTAAAGGCGAGCGCCCGGACACTGGGCTATCACGGCTCTATTTTTATGTTATGATTTCGAAAATCTGCAGGTTTCACGATGTTTTCCATCACCGCCGACCACTCAAAATTGTAATTAACAATTTCATTGGTGCTGGAAATGAGAATTGAACTCGGCTATATTGAATTAAAAGCAAACGTCCTGATTTTATAGAGCTATAATGGCTTCCAGAAGAATTCTTAGTCTACCACCAATATGGGCGATATATATTATATATATATCAAGCGTATATATAAGCGTATATATCAGGCGTATATCAAGTGGTTCAATTAATGACGATGTTTGTAAAACGTTCTAACGTAAAAAAATACAAAAAAAATATGTACTTGACACTTAGATTATATACTTGACAAGTATATAATCAAAGGTAAGACGTAACGATGTAGTAACGAAAGAAAGAATCGCATGCCTTACACTAATTCCAAAAGAAATTTGTCGACTGTATGACGCCAAAGTTATTCTTAAGCCGTAATAAATGTATCGCGTGAATGCCGCGAGCCTCTTCCCATAGCAACTGGCCGAGCAATATGTAACAAACAATAACGACCCCATGACCTCCGGTTCAACGACCTTGAAGACTACTGCCCGGTTGCTATATTCAACGAATTGCCGTTAGTTACATGGCTTCGTAACTTTCATAACGACTTGTAGATAAAAGGCGTGTACGCCCGGTTCTTATATTAACACTAGCTGTGTCCGCGTGGAATTTAAAATAAAAAAATCTAAAATAAAAGTAGCCTAAGTTACTCCTTATTACATCAGCTATTTGCCAGTGAAAGTCCCATTCAAATCTTTCCGGCCGTTTCAGAGATTAGCCGGAACAAACAGACAGACAAAAATTGTAAAAAATGTTATTTAGGTATATGTACCATGTATATATCCATATGCATGTAGTAAAAAGCGGTTATTTTAATATTACAAACAGGCACTCCAATTTTATTTATCTGTATAGATAACGAGGCGTTTTCCTTACGAGCAGTAGCATTACATACAGAAAGTGAGTTTCTAGCGTTCCTTTAATCTACAAGTCGTTATGAAAGTTACAAAGATATGTCACTAATGGCCGTTCGTTAAATATAGGAACCGGGCATAAGTAGTTCGGCGAACAGACGTTTCATGCGGGCTTGAATTCACTGCAATTATAGGCGTTGAAAAGCTGTGACAATTCGACATTGATTAAGAGGCAGCGTTGTTTAATCTAAGCTGTCATGTCTCTCCATTCTAGAAAGAGAAAGGTATTGCCGCTCGCTGTTCTTGTCTCTTATAAAATACTAATAAGATTTTAAATGAAAGATATTTGAACAAAATAACAATCGTTTTGGTCAGTTACTGCCATTCAAACTGCAATAATCACTATTTTACAGGTTTTTTTTTTGGATATTTTAGAGACATTTCTAGTTTTCAAATATAAACTGTAAAATTCCTTTTGAGACAGCGGGCAAAAGGGTGGGCTCGTGCTGGTGGAAAAACTTTGCTAAAAATGGAATAAAAACATAGAATAGAATAGAAAAATCTTTATTAATTCACGCCCATATCTTTTTATCGTGTTCACTCAGGACCTTGATTTTTATCCACCTAATAGGGACTATATATGTCTAGAGATGACTAGAGATGGTGTAAATTTCAACTTGCTGGGTGCAATCGGTGGTGATACCTACACGGACAGATGGACAAGAGAGTGATCTCATAAGCGTTCCTTTTTTAATCTTTTAAGGCACGGAACCCTGAAAACGAGATTCGGGGGCGTTTCGTGACACGGCACCGTTCGGGCCATTCGTGCGACATTGGCAAGGTGAAACGCCGCGCCGCGCAAATTCTCAATCGGCATTTATTTAACGCCATTAAATATAACGTAACGCGACGTCGTTACGTTGACAATGATTTTCATGTTGACCGGATAACCGGTCCTACATTTCAGACGCATTATATTAACATGGAAAATATAAATGTTAGTGTACACAAACAACGATAAAAAAATCATACCAGATCGCATCGGGGTGATACGCTGGAAATACCGAGGTTTACTGGCTTAAACCAGAAAGTCGTTTGCTTTTATAATAAAATTGCAATGGTGACATCCACCAACAAATAAGTATATACAATTTTAAACACTTTATTAAACCTACCTTAATGGACAGGGCCTATTATAATGTTGAAGAATACATCGAGGACAATGATGTGTAGAAATAACTCTTGCTCTGCACTTGCGAATCCTAGGATGCTGCTGATTTTATACTTAAATATTGTTGTAAACTTGTATAATAAAAAAAAATATATATAATATATTAAGACCTCAGAGTTTCTTGCCGCTTCTTCTCTGGTCAGGTCTAGTTTAGTGAAGTAAGTTCTTTATTCAATAATAAATATTAAATAAAGAAACTTTGACTTTAACTTTTAATGATTGCAAATCAATCAGAATGGAGGCAAAAGATACGCTCTAATTGAGCTAGTGCCTTTGCCATCTCTGATTAAGTATAAGAGATTGTAATTAAAAATGTAGACTTGTAAAAATGTAGAATATCGACTCCTTTTTAGCTCGCTTTTATTTCAATATACTCGAGCAAACTGAGTTCAATCCCCGGTGCCGGCCGCAATGAAATTGTTAATTTTAATTGCTGACTTATCAAGTGATCAGCGGTGAAAGATAACATCGTGTTTTCTAAAAATAAAATAAAAAAACGAAGATATGTGAAGTCCGCTAATCCGCAGTGGGGTCGCGTGGCGGACTATGCCCCAATACTCTTTGCACAGAGGAGGCCCCTGACCAACAGTGGGAAATTATATAGGCTGTTTACTGTTTCACTGTATATATTTTAAACAAGTGGTTCCCATTAACCTCACATCACTTTAACGGTCCCCTGCTCCACGAATGGTAAGGCTCGGCCGCAATAGTTCCCGGACGAGCCCACTATTTCGTGCCAACTCAAATACTGCCGCGTGGCCCTGTGCCATTTAAAATGTATACACTTCTCACCATCAAAAATAGCCGCCCGCGCTTCGGAGATAATCTCGGCGGATGTCTTGCGTCGTGGGGGCGCGTAGAACGGAGCACCCGCGCCACGCCTGTGACCTCTCTCTGTCATAGTCGTACCTGTGTCAAACCAAACGAAGGTTCGATATTGACTCACAAAAGAAGCAACAAATTGAGTAGATGAAATCGGGTGCTATCAAAAAGCACATTCCATATGAAATCCGTTGGAGGAATGGAATTTAGATATTATAACATGTTTTACTTAGCTTACGTGGGATATGTGACATTTGAAAATCGTATACTATTCGATTCTATTTCTCTCGTTTACGTTAGTGTACATTTGGAGCTGTGTAAAACTAGGTGAATAGATCTAGTTTTACGCAGCTCTAAATGTACACTGCTCTCTGTGTAACTTTTACTAACTATAGTAAACTCCCGTTTGTGGGCTATTAGACTGAAAAGTAATGAAGAACGAAAATACTTAAAAATACTTTGATATCAGTGAACGCAAATGAACGTAGAAGTATTATTGTCGTTACAAAATGACATAACGAAGAACTGTACCGTGACGGCGCGGGATAAACCGTATCTAAGAGTAACTGACTAACAAATAAGTTCATTTTTGCGTATGATAACTGTCAGTGAGAATTGTGGTGTTATTTATTAACAATCACTTGTACGAACGTGCGGTTTTCATGTTTTATTAGCGTCCACTGTTTGATATATACTGAAATCTGTTTCAAACTATTAAATGGTATTCACTATTAACAGACTGAAACACTACTTGGATTGAAAAATGCATGCAATATTACATCCTGCAATTTCACAGAGACTTTTTTTGACTTAATACGAAAATATTGAGAGGTGGACGAGTAGTGTGCAATATGGTGAAAACACACCTAGTTACATACCTACTAATAAAATAAATTACAAAAATTAAAACAATTGCAATTTGTGCGTCGGGCTTAAAAGTACTCTGAAACACATCAAATCACTTTTTGTCATAAAAACATAAGCGGTAAATTTAGTTTATTTAGTATAAAGTCGTAGTAGACATTTCACATTGAGTAATTTGTTAGAATTGGGAACTGACCGATATTCTTTAATTATAGCGGCAACAGAAATACATCACCTGTGAAAATTTCAATTGTCTCACTATCACGGTTCCTAAGATACAGCCTGGTGGCAGACGGGCAGACGGACAAGCTTAGTAATAGGGTCCCGTTTTACCCATTGTGTACAGAACCCTAAAAATGAATCTCGCGACTAGGTCAATGTAATAAATCATTTCTATTCAATTGTCGTTCTTTTCGACAGTGGCGCGTTCGTGGTGACCCACTTTATAACAGTTGTCTATAGCGTGACAGCAATTTTGATTTCCGTTGAATCTAGATCACTTACTGAACTAATGTGTTTTTAAAAATTAAATAGTTAATTTTTAGGGTTCCGTACCCAAAAGACCTCCGCTGTCTGTCTGCTTGTCCATCTGTCACCAGGCTGTATCTCATGAACCGTGATAGTGAGACAGTTAAAATTTTCACATATGTATTTTTGTTGCCGCTATAACAACAAAAACTAAAAACAGAAAAAAAAAATTTAAATGGGGCTCCCATACAACAGACATGATATTTTTTGCTGTTTTATACGTAGTGGTACTGAACCCATCGTGCGCTAGTCCGACTCGCACTTGGCCGGCATTTTTTATCTTTTTTTGTCATAACGTGGCAAGCGAGCAGACGGCTCACTGGATGTTACACGATTGCCACTCGTACACAGCTACGTCAATCTTTAAGTGTGGTAACTGAGAGTACAATACTTCGAATTCAAGATAGTCTACTGTGAGGGTGTAGTAGGTACTTTTTTTTATGGAACGAAGGGGCAACCGCGCAGGAGGCTCACGGTAAGTGATTACCGCCGCCCATGAATACCTGCAACACCCGAGGGTTCACAAATGCTTTGCCGGCCTTTTAGGAAAGGTTCGGAAAGACTGCCGGCGGTAGCTGGTTCCACAGAGTGGTTGTGCGAGGCAGGAATTGCCTTAAAAATTGCGCTTTACGAGTATAATTAAAAGTACTTTACCGAGTATAATTATAAGTATACAATGTATTTACAATGTGTTAATTTAGCTATCCTCTTCTCTATTACGAATTTCAACGGATTCTGCTCAGCTGCGGTGAAATGTAGGGGAAATATATTAATTATCTTTAGCGTCTATAGTATTAGGTAACTGTTATCGTTGTATATTATTCAGATTGTTGTGTATGGATCATAAAAAATTATGATAATGCTTTATAGGCTGTTCGGCGTTTGTTAAGATATTATTTAAATCCTTCGACTGAAGAAGAAAAACAAATGGCGTTACAGGTAGTCGGTAAAAAAATATATTCCTGATTTAAGCAGAGGTAGCTGAAGTAGCTTAAATAATAAAATTAAAGGCAGTTATAAAACTAAGAATAAGAAAAATATAAATTAAACAAACCATGAAGGGCTAAAATTCAAATTTAGAATTCAAAAAAAATACAATATTAAAATTTTAACATACCTACTTCAATAATCGAGCCGCTTTGTTAATGGCAAACAGCACATGTTATATTTGAAACGACTAAAACAACATTTCAACTCGAAATCTTCGTAAACAATTCGTCGTCTACGAAAGGGCGGGCGGTTTGACACGGTTCACGAACGTCACTGCACGTACATGTTCGTAGCAGTAGCGTAGCCACGTAGACATGGGGTTATAGCGAGCACCCGACCAGATGTAACATTCTGGGCAATAAACGACCGCAGGAGCCAGGATAAAGGTATTTACTTATTGGCTCCTGCGGTCAAAATATAATTAAAAAAACAAGAAATATTTTCAGTTTTACCCAAAGGCCTAAGCGCTCAAAGTATCGATATTAATAACAAGCTTATTGAAAATAAAATTAAAAAAAATAAGTTTATAAAATTCTGTAATGTAAGGAATTTTAAAAGCAAATGAGATGTACTTTAATTACAATATTTTATAGAACAGAATAAGATCATATTCCTAAACATAATATCGAAATGTGTTTATGGATTAAAACTGCCTGTAAGATAAAATTTTAAATAACACTACATACACGTCCTGCACTTAAATGGAATGACTTCTCGAGACTGTGTTGAACTTTTGTTATCGAAATCAGCGCTTCGGTATCGAACATGATTCTTGATTAAATTTAATCGGACTGCCCTTTCCACTAAGCTCTTATTGGCATACAAAGTAACACTTAAATAGAGAGGGCGATTCGAGTGTTTTATCACATTGTTTACGTAAAGGTTTTCGATTAAACAATGTATCTGTCACTTATCTACAAACCTATCTATAAAGCAGCGGAGGTTTTTGCTTTATTTGAATCGATACTTATTTTATCATAAATAGTTTTTTTTTTATTAACCTTTTTGAAACTCTGATACTAATGTCATTATCTAATTATGAATAGTTTCATGTTTCCGCATTATCGTTTTTACCATAAGGGCACACGGGACCCCTGTCTATAGGGGCCTTTATCGTCAGGGGGCCCTAGAAGGCAGACTTTGCCGAATTTGACACAAAACGTGACATAGACTGTACACTAAACATGGACACGGTCCAGCATAATCGCGTAAATGGGGAAAATGGATAAATTGTTTAAATCAGTTCATGTATTTAATGTCTCGGAAACAGTAGTAAATGTCCAAGTGACAACAATTTGTCAGGTTATATTTTCCATGGGACACCAAGTGTGCTCTCTGGAATACTATAAAATTTCAGGAAAAACTTCAATTCACGCTTCTGACATGAAGTATTTGTACATCCAATGCTGCAACAAACCTTTTTCACCCCCAAATTATTGTGTGCTCCAAGGCTCCGCTAGTAAGTAAATGGACACTCATGTTTTAAAATAAATTGTGGTATATGTCTAATATTCATGAAAGAGCTATATATATCCTACATGTTAAGTTATAAATAATGTTATGTAGGACAGCCTAAGTAAATTTTCGCATTCACGCTCAGTAACACATTTAACTGAAAAAACTTTGAAATTAAATATGTTTTAAATTTATTTTTGATCCTTTTTATATCATTGTTAGGTTATTCTTTTTATTTTTTTTTTGTATTAGTTGTGTTTTTCTAATTTATTTTTTAAAACGTTATTGTCACAATATTGTAAATGTTGTACACAACTGTTACAGGTGTACATATACAAATGTTTTTTATTTTTCCTTTTTGTAAATTGTGCAATTATGTATACTGTTTGTGTGTCAATAATAAAAGAAAGCTGATTACACGGAATCATCTAACTCATTATAACACGAGCGCGTGTACATTAATCAAATGGAAACTCGAAATGCCACGTTGGATCGATCGCGATGGTTTGTTGTGACGTTTTAACGGTAGCCCGGGTGACGAAAATTTGCGCCGCAGTATTCATAAACAGGTTGTTAACTAAGTAGTCGAAAATCGCTCCTTAGCATGAATTACGATATAATCCGAAATATTAACAATTCTAATTAAAGCACAGCGGATCCAGTAAATATATACTTATAATTTAAAAAAGGGGAACGATTTCGACGTTTATGGGTCTCTCTTTCCTTACGTGAGTCAGACTTTTGGCTTCAAAGACGACTAAAAGTACCAATATTTAATACGCGGATGAACGCAGCCAGAAAAGTTTAGTAATTGAGCAATTTATGCAGGGTTTCCCCAGGACAAGAGTGACGCAAAGTAGAAGCGATTATTACTCAAAATGAGACATCGCCTTCTTGTAATATAACCTTCTCCAACAAAAAATAAATGCCAAATGAGAAATTTACCCTTTAAACGAGCGTCGACCTCCTGCTTATGAATGTAATAAGACTCGCGTAGTGATAATAACTCCAGCAACGGTTGACAACCTAACAAAACATGAGTCAACATAATCATAATAATTAATAATCAAAATATTAATCGCAAGTGATTTTTTTTCAACCTAAGATGCGTTCTTACAATTTCTAAACAATTAAAATTCAGTTTTATGTTCGCTTTATAGCCATTGCTTTCAAAGAAGTTTGAACCTTTTTTACCAATCTGAATTTTAGGCGGAGCCCAATGTTCATAAGGTTGTCAACGCATCTGGAACACTCGGGTGTACCAGATGTCCATGGGCGGCGGTTATAATATATATATTCACTTAACATCAGGTTGACCCGTCTGTTCGCTTGGTAACTTTTCACAACATATTAAGTGTTAATAATGTTCTTAATAATTTTGCTATTCCGTTTTAAGTCGACTCTCAAAGATGATAAAGTTTGCGACGTTTTTGAATACAATATGTAATTATAGCTACTATTTATATTATTTTAAGCAATTGATGTCTCTACCTTCACAAATAGTACGTTCTTAAGAAGTAATAACAAATAGTATGTTCTTCTCATATTTAATCCATTTTCAACAATATTTATTTAAATAATGACGATAAAAATATTTCTTTGCTTACAATTTCAAAACATCAATTTTGACAATACACAACAAACACTGCGTCTAAAGGTAGTGGTTAAATTCTCTTTGCACTGTAACAATGTTCATGAAACATCATGCTCGTTTGACAACTTTTCGCATAAAAAAAAAAAAAAAATAAGGGAATTAAAGTTAATTTTAATCTAATTTTATTATATTACGTTTATATAAATTTTTATTCATCTTTACTACAATTTATGTACTTTTGAAGCTTGACCTTTCGCTTTCAGCTCCATTGATAGAACGGCTCCACTGAATAAAGTGGCTAACCATACACCGGATATTTAACATTGTGTTTGGCAATGATCATCATTCATCGTCATTCTGCCGTCGGCGTTTAACAACTCTTATCACACCGGGCATTAAAGTAGTCCGTTCAGATTCACTTTACCTCTTAGGTATTCTTTTTTGAATACCAAGTTTAGAATCTGTTTTTAAATGAAAGTTAAATAAATTTCTAGATCATGTTAACAAATTATTGTTACTAAATTTGCATATTGTACGTGCTATATCGTAAATAATTTATGTAGTAATATCCTAAACCACAACTCACACCTTTCTTATGCCGAGGAGGCAAAGATATCTTGGCTGTCTACCTATTCCAACGAAAATTTTCTGTTGGAAGTAAACCAACAAAAACAGTAGGATATTTCATTAATGCATAGAATACGGAAAGCTACGGTTCCGTCAACGGTGTATTTATACAAAAATGAACGTAAACAAAGCAAATAAGATATAATAATTTAATATCAAGTGAAACAAAAAATCAAATGTACAATTCTTTGCAATCATTTAAACTTTGTTTTATAATTATGGTTTTGACACATTCGTTATTAGTGTGAACACCGTGTAGTGATGTCACAGTGACATTGACACGACATGTGCGGTCACGTTACGATGTTATTGTTAATAACAATTTGTTATTGAAATGGTTATATGTTAAATGAAGTAAATGGAATAATATAAAAGATGGATTTTCCAGAAAATTGCGGTTTTATTGAATTGTGTCGACTATGCTTAAGCCAACCGGGGTCGTGCAGCATACTTGAAACAACCCATTTACTACGAGACATTTTTGTTTGTACCGGAGTTGAAGTAACTTGTCTGCTATAATAACTAATATTATTTATCGTATGTAACCCTTAATCATTACAAATAATTAAGGTGTCTGTTACAGATACTCTTCCAACGAAAATTTGTAACCACTGCAACGAAATTATACAAAAATCAATTGCTTTTCGAACACTGGTAACAGAGAATAATTTATACCTGAAATCTTTATGTCCTCATGATATCCGAGAAGAAGAGGTAAATATTCTGATGAAATTTAAAGTAACTTAGTCTTAGTCTAATTATTAACATAACAATTTTTTAGTTGAACGAAGATTTGGTTACCAGTACAATTACAAGTGAAGAAAATAAAAGCTCGTATTTAAATCAAGAAGTGGAAATTAAACAATTACAAATATCTGATAAAATTGGTCAGAATGACAATAAATCATCTGCAGCAGATAACTGCACAGTAAGCAATATTACAGTTAAAAATTTATGAATAGAAATAATGAAATATTAGTTTGTTTCATCAGTAAATGACAAAGATGTACTTTATTCTGAATATACATCATCTTTAAGTGTGAATATTCCTTATACTATGCTTTTTCGGATATCCTAATAACAACAACATTAGTAGTCTATAACCTTAATTTTTTTCACATTTCAGCACACACCTATGCAGTTACAAACATTATCAATAAGAAAAGACTTATTTCCAACTTCTACACAGGTAACTTGGAATTTTTCATTTCTTTTATTTATTTTTGGCCTGTAATTCTAATTAGATTTTCCTTACTATTGTTTCACTTTTGAAAAAAATCAAAATTCGATCAAATAAACAAACTGTCTCTTACATCTTATGAACCAAAAGATTATAATGTACCTAAGATTTTTTACTTGTCTTTGGACGGAGGAATATTTCTTATTGAATACATTTCTTCCCATTGTAAAACAATGTATGTTGTTATTGTATCTAAAGATTGAAAATAGAGAAAAGATCTTTTTTTTACGTGAAAAGTTGCCAAGCGAGCAGATGGTTCACCTGGTGAATATCGCCGCCCATGGACATCTGCTACACGCAAGGGTTTCAGATGCATTGACAACCTTTTGAAAATTGGGCTCTGGCCACTTCATTCACCAGACGAAACGCGAAACTATTATACTTCCATTTTACGCCGATCTTCTGTGAGGTTGTGGTACTTACCCGGACGAGCTTGCCCATTCGTGCAACAGCCGAGGCTGCTGCGTGGCCCTACCACCGTAGATGTATCATAAATATTTATAATCGAAAGTTTCCTGCAACTAATCTGTCATTGTCTCAATAAATAAATTACACTGTTGTCTTTAGAATGTGCCCAATGAAGAAAACATTCCTCAAAGTAGTGTTAAAAGAAGAAAAATAAAAACTGAACCAATAGAAGTTGTTGAATACAGATGTGGTGTAAGTATATTATAACTAATCTAGTTTTTTTTTATGTGAGAAGGTGGCAAGTGAGCTGGTGGTTCACCTGATGTTAAATGATAACCGCCACCCATGGACATTCGCAACACCCATAGGGTTGCAGATGCCTTGCCCCCTTTTAATGTACTTCCTTCTCCGGATGGACCTGCCCATTCATGCAACAGTGAAGTGTTGCATGGCCCTACAACAATTGAACCTTATGTAATGTCTTAATAAGTGTTATTAAAATACCTTACTCTGAATCATCAAGAGACAACTATTTTTTTGTGAGCTTGTCTTTGTAAACATGGCGTAATTTATATAACTTTAATATAATAATAATAATAAATAAAATAAAATAAAATATAATAATTTATAATCTTTTATATGTCAAAGACAGGAAAACGGAAAAACTTCAGTTACAAAAATACAAGACTTCTTTGTGAAAATTAGACATTAATTTTTTAGTTGAGTTAGATTATATTACAGAAACAGATCCTACATGTTCTTTAATTTTACATTCTACATTTCCTACATTTTTAACACCGGTAAATTAAGTTTATTCAGTTTAACACATTTTGCAATTAAAAGGGCGGCGTAAAAATCGCCCAGCAATTATATTGTCGAACATTCTGCGTTGGTCTGTCTGTCGAATGTGATAAACTCAAAAACTGCTTAATGAATTTTCATACCATATTCAGCAATGGATGAAGCTCAATAATTGATTCATTCATGAAGAAGGTTTGGGTATAGTTTTTGTGTAAATTGGGTGAAATATGACGATGATTGTTGATGTGTGAAAACGTGATACCACGCATATAAAACTCGACGGGAACACGAAAAAAAAAAGATGCATACAGCGTGTCGTTACCATCGCGACAATAAATGAACACACATATAGGGGATAACTTTTTAAAGTTGTATTAAACATTTAAATTCTTTAAACATCAATATTTACAGAGTTATTAAATTTTCCAAAACAAAGAATTTTAGAACACCCTTACCTATAAAAGCGTAACGTAAAGTTAATTTGTAAAGGTCACAAAGCATATGAATGGGTTGAATGAATTTAAAAGAGACAAAACATACTGTTAGAAGGAGAGGCTTGTAATGCGACGCTGTGGCGCGAGTTGTATAGGATGTTACAAATTTTGTTTATTTTTTACTTAATTAGTTTATTTGAAAAATATTTTTTTTTTAATTATGGACTTGTTTAACGTTAATATATTTTTATGATTATTGGCAAGTAGCGTTAGACGTGTGTTCATTTATTGTCGCGATGGTAACGACACGCTGTATGCTATGCTACCCGGGTAAAGTAGCGACGGGTCGCTAATTTAATACCTACATGTAAGCTACTTGAATCAAGTACTAAAAAGTCAGTCGTTAATATAATATTGGAGTTAATGTATGACTCCACACGACAAATATTTGTGTGATCATAGATGTGTTCGTCGAGTTTCGTGTTTGTTGCCGAGGGTTGATGTAAGGTAGGCGTCCAGTCATAAAAAAACCTCGCTAATACCACGAACATGATTCAGATGTGCCGACGTGCCGGGGTAGAATAAGAGCATGACAATGTCGATAGGTTGTCTAATCCATTTGGCGACGACCCAATCTGCATAGTGGATAGTGACCCTGTCTCTTGTGCCAGTGGGTGTGGGTTCGATCACCACCACTGGAAAAATATTGTGTGATGAACATAGTGTTTTCCTAGTGTCCCAAACATATATCTATATTATGTATGTATTTACAAAATAAAAGTGTGTTTAAGTTTAATTCATCTCTGCTTAGTTTGGGGCTAGATAACGTTGTGTAAAAATATGATCAGAAATATTTATTTATTTATTTGTAGCCATGCTCTAAGAACTTCGAGACTTGGAAGAAGCTGTATTTACACTCGCGTCTACACACCAAGAACATTGCGTGTACTGTAGAGGCTTGTGGTAAGATGTTCGCGACAAGAGGTGACCTTGAGAAGCATGTAAGGACCCACACGGGGGAGAAACCCTACCAATGCAACCTCTGCCAAAGGAAATTCACGCAAAAATGCTCATTGAAGAGTCACATGGAGACTGTACATAGTGAGGAGGAATAACCTGACTACACAATTATAGTTGAGGTGAATGCGTATTGTGTAAATATTATATAGCGCAGACATGTTTTTTTTTTACTTTATATAATAATTATACACTTAGGTATAATAGATAAAACATTGTCCATTCTGAAAGAAAAATAACTTACATTGCAGTTTAGTAACTGTGTTTTGTAATTATTTCTGTCACACAAATAGTTGTCTTATTTGGGAATCGAACATATGACCCCCGTCGCGTTAGCCAATACCGACGCGTTAGCCAATATCGTTTTTGTAACTGTGTTACAAAAACGATAAATGTATTATAGGTAAGCTTCATACATAGTCAAGAAGACTTCTAAGAAAACTATCTTCTATCTTTGCTTCGAAATTAAACCACATAAGTATTTTATATATTAGCTTCATAAACAAGTCATAAATCATTTACGACATGAAAGAAGATTTAGTTTATAAAATGGGGCTGTGTATAGGAGTATTTCTTAATTATTTTTTATTTATAGTAGCGGTCGCCCAATGGTCGAAATTCGACCATAATTAATCTAGATTATAAGTTTGAACAATAGTAATCTGTTCTCAGTTTCACCACAGACTTAATATACACATGTGTGTCAAATACGTGGTAGTGTGTATGTAATGTTTTTTTTTTAATTTAAAATACTTTTATGCTTAATTTAAAAAAAAATGATTCTCTATATCAACTAAAAGTGGAAAATTTCATACTCTTTCTCAATTTTCGTAAAAAGTGGTACAAAGTTTTTGCTTCAGATATAAATGTATAGATTTAATGTTCTAATTTGAAAAAGCATTGCATTTGAAGGGAATGCCTGACTACTGAAAATCGTAGTAACACTAAACTATGAGTTGAAGATTTAAAATTTTGTTATACCTACTTGCATATGAACTTTCCATTAGTTTTAAGTTAAAAAGTTAAATGTTATTGTGCCTCTTAGACTTAAGGCCCATTTACACGATGCCATTTTCTTGTACATGCAAGAGCAATAATTGAATGCAATAAATTGCGCGCAATAATTGGTTAGACCATTTGTTGTTTAGACCATGCAACTTATTTATTGCTTCAATTTAATTGTATATAACAGGCAAGAAACTTGCACCGTGTAAATGGGCCTTTATTCTTACTTTCAACCTTTCGATCTTTCTTCTTTTTGCTCTATATTCTTGTAATGCAAACATGCTTACCTTAACAGTAAACAAAAATGCTGAATTTAAGAGCGAAAATTTTCAACTGCAAAACCTTAAATGATTTTAGCATGTACTTAGACCATTTAAAAAAAAAAACAATGTTCAGTATATGTGCAGTTACAAAAACATTTATAACTTATATTGTACTGAAAAGTTTTGTACAATTTTTAATTTTTATGAAATAAACTATTGAATTTTGAATAGTTTCCATTTCAATGATCCGATCCTATGACCTTAAGAGTTTCCGCGTCTGAACCCCCCTACATTACCGTTACTAATTAACGACAAAATATAAATTGATATGTTTAAAATAAAAACAAAGTATATTTTTTTATTTGTTGGTACTTATTATTTACATTTAAATTACTTACAAATCATTTAGGCCTAGACAGTGTCGTAAATAGCTATTTTTATATACATACGGTTCTGTATATGCGGTAATTTTCCCCCTATGCTTAAAGAGTTACGAATTTCCATGGGTGTATTACCATATTTTACTTAAGGAGAAGAATTCCTTTAAATATCTTCAATTCAAAAACTCCTATAGTCATCCAAATAATTCAATAAAAAGTTAAGTTGGCAGTTTTATTTTATTTATGAAATATTGTTAAGGATAGCCAATTAACACAATTACACTATGATTATTTTTTCTTCAAATGTTGTAAAATAGGTGTGGGATGTTTACATTATATTTTGTTTTAATTTTAAGTCAATAAATAACCATTCATTAAGTGTTAACAATAAATTTGTAAAAACTTAGGCACTCCTTATCAAAACGTAAAATGTAAAAATTTACTTTGCACTAAAGATTTAATATTAAAATATGGAGAAAAAGTACGAGAAGCATTGCTTCAAATGCTAAAAATCAATGTAGATAAAAGACGTTAAGATTTTCGTCGGTGTGGCTATCAGCCGTTTAGCTTAGTGGTTAAAGCGTCAGGCCGCGAATGCCGAACCACAGCGGCGACAATCTTTTCGTACTTTTTCTACATATTTTAATGTAAAAAATTTATTAGAAAAGCATAATCTTTTCTGAGTACACATGACTTTCTTGAATATATAAAACATCAGTTCCATCCAAGCTATTATTGGAATGCTCATTAAAGTATACACATATTCATAATAACACTATCAATACACATATGCATATTGAAATTATTAATCGTAAAGTTATTTTGTGTGCCAAGTTTATTTCTTAATTAAAATAGCTTCTATATCACAATAGACCATTGCACATATTTATTGAAATTAATGTTTTTAAAGTAAAGCAAGTTACAAAAATAATTACTCTCTATCCCTATCTAAGTTCATTACGTAAATTTTAAATGAAACATAAGGTTGAAGATGATGAATACAGAGTCTTATGATAGAAGACAAATTGCTTTGCATTGTTAAGTTCTAGTACTAAATAACAAGTCAATGGTATGAAATGTCAATGGAAAGCATAAAATAACAATAGAAATGTGCAAACGGCCACCACTAATCCCAGGATGAGGGAATCACGGCGTTTGCGGGCGTTTATTCTGTAAATGAGACTGTTCAGCATTGGGAACCTGTGAAATAAAAATTTGTATTACTATTTATTTATTAAATATTTTTATATACAGGGAGACTTTTTTAAGGGTGCCCAAATTTACACAGGAGGTACATACTCGGTAGTATAATCGTTTATTGAAATAAAAACAAACTTTTGTTTTTTCAAAAAATTCCCATTCTTTTCCCTAAAAAACAGAACTTGTTGAACGCGGTAGTCATTCAAAAATACCTAAATTTTACTGTTTACGCACACAATACGTTTGTGTGCGTGCTAGTTAGAATGATCGCGTGGAAAACGAGTTGCGTATAAATCATGCACTTTTTGAGATAAGTTCAAATGAATGTAATTAATTACTTACGAGTGATTTAAAATATATTCATTTTTTATATAACGTTATTTATCTCTAGAATTTAATTAAAAATGGATACACTTAGAAAAGCCTCCCTGTATATTTACCAGCTTTTCAAACAATAACAGTTTACAGCATCACTTCTTTGAAGAAAGTTATTATTTAGTTTATGGAGAAGACAACATTAAAAGTAAAACTGCTGACCAAACCTAAACTGTTCTTTGTGATCTGTTTATTTGTGAAAGACATTAAATGCAATTGATAACAGTTCAATAAAATAACTTGGAATTATGGAAATGATGTTTAATAATATAGATGACGCATGTCCATACTGTGCGACGTTTAAAAATTGTTCCGCCTTACTCTATAATATATTTAGTGATTGTAAAAGATGATGTAGAACATATGATACGGAAAGAGATTGCATACTACACCAATTAGTAATTTTGAGTGCCTCAGTTTCGGTGCTCTAGTGTCATATCTACCTAGTTATAAAATTCATGTGTCACAGTTTTAGTGGTTTATACTGCTCCGAAACAGCTTCACCGAATGACAATTATGAATATGCTTCAAAGGGCTTCATTTTGTTATTTTTACACTATCACTCTTCAGAATAAGAGAAATTCACCACTCACTGCGAAGGAACTTGGAAGGAACCCTACTTAAACATGGAACTTTACCACAAATGCATATATTGGTGGATTTTTTTTATTTTATCAACACCCAAGTTATAGATGGGTTACAGATGCGTTGACAACCTTTTGATAAAACCATGAAACCATGGAAGCTGTTTATGAAACCATGAAAACCAACCACCGCATACCGTTTCAGAAATTAACAAAAAAAGGGATAGGCATATCTGACAGAATGCCAATAAACATACCTGTTGGCAATGTCATTAAACCTGGTCTGCATCCTCTTGAAGGTCTGTCGTTGTGACGTAAGATGTTCACGTGCTTCCATCGCAATGTTTATCTGTTCGTCCACGAGGATATGTGAACTGTAATACAAATTTTTCCTTTGTAACAGTCGCATAATGCACTGTGATGAATGCAATTAATAATATAGCTTTTTTCTACATATTTTAATGATCAATCTTAAGTGCAAAGATTAGCTCTATAAACAATTTAAATTTCTAATAATATAGCTGTTATTTTCTAACATTACACATTGTATGAGACAGTGAGATCCTAGTTGAATGTATGGAAATTTCTTTTTTGCTTTTAAATAATAGTTTTGTACTATTTAAAACACCTGTGCAAATGACTGGCCTCCTTGGCGTATTGGTCACGGCGACTCAGACCAGCTGCAGCTGTTGGCGGTGGACTACCTCCACGCAGCAACTCCTCGCGCTCTCGTCTGGCATTCACTCGGGCTGAGGTCTTCGAAAACTCTTGCTGGTAATCCTGCGAAAGGTTGAAATGTCCATCATTATTGTTATCAATTAATTGTTGATGCTTCCTCTAAAGGTGGCACCCGCTTACATGAGTGCATAAAAATAAAACTTACCATCAGTATTTCTCTATGCCTCTTTAACGTGTGCATAGTAGCAGCGCCATTTGGTGCCAAATCTACCATTTTGTCATTAATTGAAGATAACTGTAAATATATAGTAATTATATTAGGAGGTCAACAACAAAGATCATTTGACATAATAACATTAAAATTTACGCAATAATTTACAAATGTGTTTATTAAGTTTTGTTTAGTTAATTTATGTGAACTTAATACAGTTTTAATTTTTTTTTTTAAATTGTTTATAGTGCTATCTTTGCACTTAAGATTAAACATTAAGATTTGTTGATGTAGCAATCAGCCATTTGGTTGTGGTTAAAGCGTCAGACCGCGAATGCCGAAGACGGGTTCGATTCCCACAGCGGCGACAATCTTTTCGTACTTTTTCTACATATTTTAATGTTACAGTTTTAAATCTACCAAGAATTTTTATTGCAAACTTCCATTTGGTTGAGGTTATCACAACTTTAGGTGAAACACCGACTTGCTTGCCACCTTCTCACAAAACAAAGACTTGTGACTGAGAGACTGATTTCTATACAATAGAAAATTAAGTGAAATAAACAAATGCAACAAACATATGTGATATATGAATTTGCACATAATTTTAGGTTCCACATTTTTAAGGAACTATATCTGAATGAAATATTTGAAAAATGAAAAAAAACCATGAAGTTGGCAAAACTTTTGTGCTGCAAATTATAGGGTTTTTACAATCATCAAACTTCCTGGCAGAATAATTTTATCCAACTGTAAGGGCATAAGGTGTGATGGTCAGTCAAGTCCTAGCCAGTTATTAAAAAGTAATTTAAAAAAAGAGCATATTACAGTAGGATAAAATTATCATAAGGGAATCATGCCCTTACAGTAGGATTATAATACATTATTTAATGTTACTTATATGGTACCTTGTTAAGTAATTGTTGGATTTCCATAGACATTGTGTCAAACATGTCATCACTGTTGATCAAGGGAACTGTCTCTGATGAAAGGCTTGATGAACCAGAACTAACACCCAATTTGCTAAAAGCTACCAGTTTAACATCAATGTCATTTTCTAAATGTCTGGCTTGCTTTCTTAAATCTGAAAATTTTAAATATGAAATGTTTAATTTTTTTTCTATAAATCACCAGATTTCTCAATACCACCCGGCTTCCCCGGAGTTTCGTTATTAATTATTCTAATACTTACAATTCTCTATAAAATAAAAATATTTATAAGTATACCATCATACATTGGGTGTCATACCATAGAAAATAGTAACTAGCCGTAAAAGTGCATACGCAAAATTATTATTTTTTTCTCATATGACTGTCAGTGAAATGAATATAAATAAATGAATGATAATATTCATTCGATTTGGTTTGAATTGCAATGGCCAATTAGTCCGGGTAAAGTGATTAAAAATAATTATTACTTATCGGTTACTATATAATAATATTCAACCATAAGTATAGTGTTTCAAAATAAAAAGATATCAACACAATGTATTTGTATACCACATAATTTAGGTGCAACGTCATAATTTCTTGCAGGTAAAAAACTGGTACATAGTTAGTATAATTTACCTTCCCAAGATTGTCCTGTCACCGCACTCATTTTAAAAAGCCGAAAATTTATAGTATATGCTTAAATCTAATTAAAGGAAAGAAAAAATAATTTGTTTACAAATTATTTTGTAGCTACAATAATTAAACTGTCACTATTTTTTTATCGTTCGTATCGCAATTCATGAATTCAGTGTTGTATTACCAACTCTCAAAAATATTTGTCCCTAGAGCTTAAGTAAAAAACGTCTATACCGAATATTTATTAAAAAATTATAAATATTAAATAACGCAAAGATTTTTGCATTAATTTCTACATGAATGGAATAATACAGTGAAGTATATTGCAGCGAAAATGTTGGTTTTATAAAAAGTGTTTTATGAAAAATTGCAGGGAATTTAATTTTATAAAAAATATTTCTCTCTTATGATTTCATTACACAACCAATATTTTTACCGTAATTTCAAAAATCAGATTCATAGTGAATATTAAAAAAAATTAACTACTTTTAGCGCTTTCTACAATTTATCCTACGCTACCGCTGTTGAATGCGTTTTTACAGACACTTTTTATCTGTATTCTCCGTAATTCAACTCCGCATTCTTAGTAATCAAGAACCAGACAGATGTCGCTAAGCTGCTAGGTCAACAAATAAACATGATTGTAAACATATTGCGTTACTCCAGCCTCTTTATATTTCTTAATCAAAATAGAATAACAAGAAATAAAACGTAGGAAATAATATAAGAAGTCATAAAATATCACTAAAATTAACTCTAAATATATAACATCCTTAAAAAGGCAGTATTATCTCCCCTCTGTTATTCTCCGTTTTTAAAAACTTTATCACTCACCACTCATAACCTTCGCTTTGTTTATCGTCTTTATGCCGATGACTTGCAGCTATATGCTCAGGCTTCCATCGATACTCTTAATGAGGCTATTCTTAAGCTTAATGAAGTTTTAGTAACCATTAAGACCTGTCAGATAAGTTTGGATTAACCGTAAATCATCCGATCAAATGTATCATCCGTCTTTATAGATTCCCTGCCGATGAAAACTAAAGTAACGCTCATATAGGCCTTAATTTTTCCTATATTTGACTATGGTGACATGTGCTACTTTGATCTGAATGCAGATCACCACAATAAACTTGACCGACCGCAAATATCACCTTGTTTGGTCCTATCAGTCACAAATAAATTGAATAACCATTCGTCAACGACGTGCTCCTAAGAGTCGCCTCTTCATACTTTTTTCTTACCTTGACTCGCCATTTACTCCTTCATATTTAACTCCTCACTTCCAATACCTTAGTACAGTCAACATTAAGAATCTTCGCTCTAAACATAATCGTCTTCTGTTCTGTCCTCCTCATCGATCTGATTTTATCCATTCTTTGTCCAATCTCAGAATCAAAAGAAGAATTTCTTTGGAATGACCTCCCTATAAAAATCCGGATGGCTAAGAATTGCTTTGTTGTTAAGAAAATGGCACGCAAGTATATTCAAAATTTCCAACAGTTTTATGACATCATCAGAGTATATATACATTATATGTACCGTTACGTATACGGTACCGCCCGAAGATTGATTGGTAGAAAATACTGTCAGTATTAAGTCCGACTATGTACTGTATTTTGTGCATGAAGTTTAAAAATAAATAAATATATAAAAATCCCAACGCGTTAGTTTACCCCCTAAATTTGGGGGGAAAATCCCTAAATTGGCAGCCCTCTCCCAATTAGTAACTGATATTTGTAGATTAATGTTGCCATATGTAAATTGATGACATTTGTAGATAATTGATAGTTAAAAGGTTATTATTTTATTTTTTAGTTATCACATAACTAAAAAATAAAATAAAAAATCGTATAACATTACATACCTACTACATAATATTATAAATGTGAAAGTAAGTTTGTTTGTTACGCTTTCACACCAACTAACTTCAATGCGAGCGAAGCCGCGGGCGGAAAGCTAGAAGCTAGTAAAATAAAGAATAAAAAAAATAATCTACCACATTGACAATGACCAAAGAGAATATTATATTCGTTTTTGACAATGACATTTGATTTGAATTTTGATTTTTAATTGTGGCTTTGGTTTAGTAAATTTACGCGGTATTTTTGATGTTTGAAAACTTTGATTTGAATTGAAATAGGTATAATTCACTTAGGAATATATGAATATTTGAGTTAAACATGAATGTAAAAAATTTAAACTTTAAAACTAAGTCGTTATGAATAATTGTAAAACCTCTAAAATACCTGTAACGGTGGAATATGTTTTAAGTTCAATACAAGATCGGATAAGCAATGCAGATGTGAAAACACGTGAATATTTTATGCATTACGGTATTTTTTTTATTAGAATATAAATGTAAAACATACTTATATTTATTTTGTATCAGTTTCAGATGAAGATCTTTTAACCTTGCATTCAATATTTGGCGCTGTACTACAAAGGGCACTAGATATTTTGGAGAAATACCCTACATTTGTCTCCTACTGTACGGGTAATGATTCACGAGTCTTAATAGAAATTAACGGAGAGAACAATAGGTGTTACAGAGTTTTTCCGCGTATTAATTTTTGTCCATGTAAAGCTTTTAAACACCAAGTTTTGGAGCGGAAGACTCAAATAACTTGTAAACATGTGTTAGCAGCAAGAATACAACAGATTTTAGGCAGAACAGTGCCCCATCAAGTTACGCAGGAGCAATATTTAATGCTACTTAAATCAATGTTTGATTTAGAAGACAATAATGGATGAAGGCACATCTCAATATTATTTTACTGCTTCCATGGAATCAGGAAAAACTCTTTGCAGCTTGTTAAAAGCAATACAATTTCAAGAGGTATTTATTTAATTTTTTCATTACAAAACATACACCGGAGACGCATAGTTTTTTGTGATACAATTTTTAATTTTACTTATTTAACAGAATCTAATAATTTCATGTGTGAGGGTTCCCCTCCCACCTCTTGTAACCAGACTTAACGACAGTAGCGCTAATGGGTGGATAAAAATAAGGTTAAGCCGGGAGCACTGCTCCCACCTGAATTACCTTTGAACCTAATCTGTCATTAAATTTAAAAAAAAATTATTGAACAATACGAGTATGAAGTCACCAGTTTATTTTTATTAATCATTTATCATGTTGGCAGTACTGTGGATTCGCTTTTGAAGTAAAATTAATAAAATATGCGTACTTTCTCAGTGAAAATAAAAAGTTTTAATTCCGTAAACTAAATGTGACCTGACAATTCTGCTTGTTGATTAATACATTAGTGATTTTTCTCTAACGTTTAAAATTTTTTTATTATTCACATCTTCGAAAAACTGAATTTTATCAAAATTGCGTTCCATTTCACATTTCGTAAGATTATTAAATTTTAAAAAGTCGGTAATACAATTTTTTACGTGCCTCCGGCAGAAAAAAATGCATTACAGTGCTTGGTACGAATCTCCTTAACCCTCTCAAACTTACAGTGTACTAAAATTTGAGCAACTCGATTCAAAACCCAACCCCATTTCCCTACTACATGTTATTGATAATACTTTTATAAGAAAACAAGTCTTGAATCCAATTCAAAAGTCATTTGAATTATTTTACCACTTACCTACTAAAACAAAAATGTCCTTTATTATTTTAATAAAGAATGTGCGTAATGTATGCGTAATGTGTGCATGTGTGTAATGAGATTTTAGTATCTTATAAGTATATTCAGCAATTGTTTCCGCACACCATTCTAGTCCAACAAACCAAGATTGTAAAGAGAGATTGAATTCCTAAAAAAATAAGGTAGAAAACTATTGTGTAAGGGGTCTTTTAACTTTGTTGCCACTGCAGAAAATTCCATGTTAGCAATTTCGATTATAAGGGAAACCCATCATTGTTGTTAAATAAAATATTTTTAATGAACACAGTGCGCCATATTTTGCGCTATGCCAGAGGGTCTGAAGCTGACTGTGGAAGAAGGAAAGTGTGTACAAGCTTCAGCTTATGTTCCATCTGATAACTTCACCGAATACCATGTTAGAGACGATGTTGATGTTATGTTTAAGGTGAGATGCATTAGATAAGTATTCTTAAAAACTGTATCAAATGACTGAATGGAGAGCATAGGGTTGCCAACTGTTTTTGAAAAAAATAAAGTTTCTTAATAGAGAAAAAATAAAGATAAAGTATTTTTCAAAATTTTATTTATTTCTCCTCGATTTTTAATTGATTGATTCTCTTTTAGCACACTCTCAGTTCACTATTCTCAAATTTTTGGAAGCCGTGACAAATTAACATGTAAGAAAAAAAATTTTCTTTTTTTTCTTACATGTTAATATTTTTTAAGGGGGCTATAAATGGGGCTCGGAGCGCGCTAGACGGCAGTTCGGTGGTGGAACTCGCGGAAGAAGGAACAGGAAGAAGAAAGTGGAAAGTGAAGCAATAGTGAGTGGCCAATATAGTAGTGAACAGGGACGCGTAGTGACTAGTAAAGACGTACACGGTGTGTTGGTGCAGTATCGTGTGGATCGTTGCACCAGTGGACGCGTACGTGGAGATTGGTGCGAGAGGGAGCTCAGTGGCAGTCGTGTCACCGTAGGATTGGTGCGTACGTAAAAGTCCTCGCACCGGTGGAAGTTGTAGGGACTAGAACGCTATTGAGAGGTTCATTGTGCACAGGGCCGTGCCTGACGGGCGTTCATTGCGTGCACCGCACGCAGGCGGCCGAAATTAAGAGGCGGCCAAATCGTTACAAGTTGTTTACTGGGCAAAAATACAATCGGTTTGTTTTCATTAAGATACGAAGTAAAAACAGTTTCTCTAATCTAATCTATCTAAAAAGAGTTTCTCAGAAATAAGAAATGTATAAAAACTGATTAGGTCGTTGTAGTATTTATATACCTAGTCATGCAGCGAATCCGAATTTTTTCGAACATTGCACGAGCGACGAGCCGAAATAGTTTTTTCAATTGACCGGCGTCGCGTAAGCGGTCTTATTCGTCTTATTAGTCGTATTAGTCTATAGACTAGCGAGGATAAATCGTTATTTGTGTCCTGTGTGTGATCCGATATTATTAAATTCTTTAATTTAACGAATAAAAATAAATTGCTTAATTCCTGAAAACTTTTAGTTGTGTGTTCGTGTGGTGAAATTTAATAAAAAGTTTATTTACTCGACAAAGACTGAAAAAGGTAATACACAAAAAATGTAAAATTTGGGTAGACTTTCACTTTTTGGGCCCGGGAAATTTTGGCGGGTCTTTTTGGAGGGAAAAGGCCTTTTGATATGAAATTCTTAAATAAATATTAAAAAATATTTAATAATATTAAAAAAAATTTAAAAAAAAATTAAATAATAATTAAAATAAATAATAAAATAGTGCAATTTAATATTAAATTACTTAAAATCTTCCTTAATTTATACTAAAAAATGAATATCTTTCTCATTTTGAATGCATTTATATAATAATTAAAAGTTGTTTGTTTGCATACGAGATTCTCTGTTTAAATCGCTCACAACCCGCCGATGAAAAATCAAGCATTTGAACTTGTGTAGCCGAAAGCAACTCTTTAAATTAAGCTTATGATTCCTTTTTATAATAGCAATGTTATTGTTATTAAATGGAAGAAATTTACCTGACATTGAACTAGAAAACAGTTATATGTGGTTGAATTTTCCTCTCCGTTTTCATTTTCAAAATAAATCTTGACATATTTATGTTTAAAAATATGTTTTACTTAAAAAGCTTATAAATGATTTTCTTATCGTGTCATTCTATGCGCATTAAAATATACATTAATTATAGATTTTAAGTAATTTAATATTAAATTGCGCTATTTTATTATTTATTTTAATTATTTAATTTTTTTTTAATTTTTTTAATATTATTAAATATTTTTTAATATTTATTTAAGAATTTCATATCAAAAGGCCTTTTCCCTCCAAAAAGACCCGCCAAAATTTCCCGGGCCCAAAATTGAAAGTCTACCCTAAAATTTAATATCACTGCTCATTTACATTTTTAAAGGCCTACGAATGTCTGAAAGGAAAACGAAAAGATTGTCTGGAGCGCAATATAAAAGAAAGCGAGAGGAAAAGCAAAATGAAGCTAAAAAAATGTTTGGCTCATTAACAAAGTTTTTAGTAAAATCGCCAGAACCGGAAAGTAGTTGTAGTAGCCAATTAAATCCAATTGATGATTTGTTTTGCGATAAAAATGAAAATGAATTATCTGTCGAAAATGAAAAGGCTAATGACAATACTAGTAGTACCGACGAAATGGAAACAGAAGATAATAAGGATATCGATCTATACAATACCGATACCGCTGAAATTGATAAAGCATATTTTGCTATGTGTATGGATTTAAATGATCCAGCTTGCTGGCCTTTAACAATTACCACTAAAATATTGGATATATTAATCGAAAAAGGACCCATACAAAATAAACAATCTATATATCTAATTAATGAATTGGGAAGATCATTTTCATCAACTTATTTCTATAGAAAAATGCCAAATGGTGAAAAATTTAATCGTGAGTGGTTAATCTATTCTCCAAAAACGGATTCCATATTTTGCTTCTGTTGTAAATTATTTGGCAAACAAGAAATAAAATTAGTTAATGAAGGCTTCAATGATCATATCGGAAATTGCACCAATTGGAAAAATTTGGAATTAAATTTAAAAAACAAAGCTACAATTGATAAAAATTTGCAACGGTATTATGACGCAGAGAAAAAACGATGGTATCAAATTGTCGTACGCATGATATCTGTGGTACAATTTCTGGCAGTACAGGGTTTAGCGTTTAGAGGTAGCTCGAGCAGATTGTATGAAAACAATAATGGAAATTTTCTAAAAGCAATTGAAATGATAGGAAAATTTGATGATGTTATGGCAGATCACATAAATCGCATTCAACAATCAGTTGCTTTAAAGAACCATATGCCACATTATGCGGGAAATCGCTTCCAAAATGAAATAATTAGTATCCTTGCAGCGCAAATTCAAAAATATATTTTGTCAGCAATAAAAGACGCCAAATATTTTTCAGTAATTTTGGATTGTACGCCGGACATGGGACATGTCGAGCAAATTACAATAATTTTGAGATATGTGCATATTCAAAATGACGAAGTAGAAGTGAGAGAAAATTTCGTTGGTTTTTCTCCAGCTCAAAAAAGTACTGGAGAAGCTTTTTACGACTTTTTAATTGAAAAATTAAGCTCTCTTAAATTAAATGTTAACGATATGAGAGGCCAGGGGTATGATAATGGATCAAATATGGCTGGAAAACATATTGGATTGCAGAAACGAATTTTGGACAATTATCCACGAGCTTTGTTTATGCCATGCAACGCGCATACATTAAATTTGGTCGTCAATGATGCAGCGAAAGTTTCTTTTTCAACTGTGGATTTTTTTAGTAATGTGTCAGCAATATACAATTACTTTTCCGGATCACCTTTTCGATGGCAAATTTTAAAAAAACATGTAAAATCGTTAACAGTAAAACAAGTTAGCGTAACCCGGTGGGAATCAAGGATTAAGGCGATTAGACCACTGCGTCATGAATTAGGTGAAATTTATGACAGCCTAATAGAACTAGCGGAAGAATGTTCAACACCAATAGGTCAACATGAAGCTAAATGTTTGGCAATGAAAATTAAATCGTACAAATTTATTTGTTCCACAGTAATATGGTACGAAATCTTAGAAAAAGTAAATATTATTAGTAAAATGATGCAGACCGTTTCTTGGAATCTTACTTCATGTGCTGAATCTATTAATAATATTTTAATTTTTTTCCAAAGTATTAGAAATGATGAAAATTTCGAAAAGTATTTGAAAATTGCTGATGAATTATGTGAATCACTTGAAATACAACCGGAATTTCCTGTTGAAATTAATCTACGTCGACGCCATAAGCGAAAACAATTTGACTATGAAGGAGATGAGGATATTCAGTTAACTGCTAAAGAAAATTTCAAAATTAATTTTTTCTATGTAATATTGGATACAGCCATTTCATCTGTTACTACCCGATTTGAAACATTATCCAATTTCGAACAGTCTTTCGGATTTTTATATAAATTTGTTGAAATAGGAGAGGACGACATAAAAAAAAGTTGCTTCGACTTTCATAATAAATTCAAGGATGGCGAATCGTGCGACATAAACGGAGCAGAATTATACGAAGAGTTAATTTCATTGAAAATAATTATAAAAGATAGGAAACAACCCGAAGAACTCCTAAAGTATTTGTACAAACACAATTTACAAAATTCATTTCCAAATGTATCTACAAGCTTAAAACTATTATTGACCATGCCTGTATCAGTTGCGTCTGGAGAACGTAGTTTTTCTAAATTGAAAAACATAAAAAATTACCTACGTACTTCCATGACGCAAGAACGTATGAACAATCTTTCAATTATCGCGATTGAAAGTGAAATTGCTGAATCTTTAAATATTCACGAAGCAATTGACGATTTTGTCAGTAAAAAATCCCGTAGGATTAACTTTTAATATGTACTTTATTTAATAATTGCTTCGTGAAGATTCAGCAATTTCACTTTCAATCGCGATAATTGAAAGATTGAAAGATTTCCCTAATTAGCCGGTAACCTAACCGAAATAATTTTATGAAACCGGTTAATTAACCAAAAACCTTTACTATTTTCAATATCAATAAATAATACGTAAGATTTGATTTTTTAAAATCAAATAATTTTAAATTGTCACTGAGCGACACCTAGGATTTTATATTATCGTATTCCTATGTTCTTTATGTTTGATAATTTTGTCTGTGATTATAATACCAATACCATAATTACTTTTTTTCATGTTATTATTAAAGTAAGTAAATTAATTCTATTTTGTATACCTCCCAAGTTGCAAGTCAGCCCAGATCTGCCATTGGCCACTGAGCTTTGTTATCCTAATATGTTAGTATAGATTTAAGGGTTATTCCTTGTTCTTTATGTTTGATAATTTTGTCTGTGATTATAAAACCAATACCATAATTTTTTTTCATGTTATTATTTTTGTTTAAATTTTAAATAAAAAAATGTTTATTTTGTGCATTTTTTTTTCTTAAATTTCATCCAAACATATAAATCTCATAAAACCGGTTTTTAGCCGGTTTTTCTTTTCAGAAACCGGTTTTGGGAACAAAACCAATATTTTTTTCGTTCTCGATTTCGGTTAACCAAAAACTGATTTTTTTCCCGGTTTGATGCCCTGTGTAAAATAATAAACATTAAAAATTAAAGTAGTTTTTTTTAATGTTATCCTGGGGGCGGCCATACAGACTGGCACGCAGGCGGCCATATACCCAGGCACGGCCCTGATTGTGCACATCTTTGTTGGCGACAATAAAGTAAAAAATTTACCGGCTTTCTTGTAACATTATAAAGTATGGTTGGCAACCCTAGGTTTGATCCTCATGCAGGGCAAAACTTTAGTGATGGCCCATGTATTGTTGTGTTGAATCTGGGTCTACTTTGTGCCCATGATATGCCATATTCGTGAATAGATATAGAATGTCTAATGATAAAAAATATGCATAATGTTTTCCTAGTGTAGTTGTTTCTCAAATAAAAAAATAGAAGAAAAAAAAATTCCCAGCTAAATGTGCCGAAAATTACAGTTTTTGGCTAATTATCAAGAAGGATTTAAGACTTATTTTTAACATTTGTTGTAAAGTTAGGTACAATGTGAATGAAATTATATTAAACAGCTTTCAGAAAGAATTTCCTGATTTTTAGTTGAATACTACAAATTGTATTATATGAAAAATAAGACCAGAGGATTTTATAAAAATATGACCAGTTATTGGTAAAATCCTCTGGTTTCTTTTGTCTCATTAAGTGAACTAGAAGTAGTATTATTACTCATAGGGGCAGAGCCTTAGATTATAATAAAGCAATTTTGACATTTGATGAAACATTTTTGAAACATTCTATGTAAAAAAACACACTAAACAATGTGTAAAATAAAATACAAATTGTTAACAGATAAGCATAGCTGTGTTGGCTGAATGTCTCAACATATTTGGCTCGGGTGAAGAATCAAGTCTTAAAATGTACTATAGGTGTGAGGGATCTCCACTACTTTTAGTGTAAGAAGCACCTTTTCATACCTTCACTCATCAGTAAGAGAAGTTTCAAAAGAAATCTGGCTCATAAAAACAATATAAACCAGTACCTAATAATATGCCAACATGCTGAAATTACAGTGCTGCTTTTATTTTTGACATGTCACTAACTGGAACTCGTCATTTAGTTGATATTTTTATGATGTAACACTTTTTATTAAGTGCACAGGCGGTTCACACATGCCTAATACATCACTTCGGTCTTCTATGAGGCATTGGTACTTCTGTTTTTTAGTATTTTTTTGTTAGTAATTTAGTCGCAATAATTTAAAAATGTTTATAATATGACAAAGAGTTACAATTATCTGTGAGTTTCATAAGATTCTATCAGATGGCGGTGTAAGGTAAAGAATGTCCGGATGGCAATGGCTAGGCGAAATCGAGCTTTCTCTTGATATAAGAAACAACGCACTGAAGAAAACTGGTCAGTATTTAAGATTGCAAGGAATAGGTGCAACCAGATGGTGCGCGCTGCTAAACGCCGATATATCCATAGTAATATAAATAATTCTTCGCCAGCTGATGTGTGGAAATTTCTTAGTACTATTGGTGTCGGTAAATCGCCCTCCACGGATAGTGGTCCTTCAGTCTCTCCCGATGATATTAACCATCATTTTAGCTCTGTTTCTATAATGGACCCTATAATCCGAGCTCAAACTTTAGCTTATATAGCATCCTTCCAATTTCCACACAAACCAGTTTTTAATTTCTCTCCCGTTGGTGAGGACGAAATAAAGAAAATTATCCTGGCTATCAAATCTAAGGCTGTGGGTTGTGATGATGTAAGTAGGGTCATGATAACCAATTTATTAGATTTTCTTCCTCCTGCAGTCACACACATTATAAATTTTTCTCTCGACTTAGGGCAATATGCGATCCTTTGGAAAAAGGCGTTTGTAAGGCCTCTTCCAAAAGTACCCACTCCCACACTTCCTAATCACTTTCGTCCTATCTCAATTTTGCCTTTCCTGTCTAAAGTTTTGGAAGCCTGTGTTCATAAGCAAGTCACCAAATTTATTCATAAAAATAACCTACTGAGCCCTTATCAGTCTGGGTTTCGTCCTGGACATAGCACCACAACTGCGTTACTTAAAATCACTGATGATATAAGACTAGGCATGGATGATAAAAAAGTGACAGTTATGGTGCTGGTCGACTTCTCTAATGCTTTTAACACAGTTGATCACGACATCCTCCTTTCCATTCTTACACAGGTTTTGTACCCTCAGTCTTGGATTGGTTCTCTTCTTATCTTCGCGGACGTCAGCAATCAGTACATGTGGGACAAGAGTTCTCTCAGTGGGCTGATCTTGAGACTGGCGTGCCGCAAGGCGGTATACTTTCTCCCATAATGTTTTCAGTCTTTATTAATTCTATCACGTCTTGTATTGATTGCGCGTACCATCTGTATGCCGATGACTTGCAAATTTACATCCAAACCGAAGTTGATAGTATCCATAATGCGATTGCTAATTTAAATTTAAACTTAGATCGTATACATGATTGGTCATCGCGTTTTGGTGTATCTGTCAACCCTTCAAAATGTCAAGCCATGTTATTCGGAAGTGCTAGATTGTTAGCTAAAATTGACTCTGAAAACCTGCCATCCGTCCAATACAACAGTAAAACAGTACCCTTTTCGAGTACTATCAAAAACCTAGGCCTGATCATGGACAGCACGATGAACTGGGGACCACATATCACCGAGATCAGTCGCAAAGTATTTGGTGCCTTACGAACTCTGTACCGTCTGAAGAATTTTCTTCCTCTGAAGACCAAGGTTATGCTCGTACAGTCGCTTATTTTACCCCTTATTGATTATGCGGATGTATGTTACCCAGACGTAAATAAAGATAAGCTAGAGCGCCTTTACAATAACTGTATAAGATGTCTTTAATCTCAGAAAATATGATCATATTTCCCAATGTCGTATTCAGTTAAAATGGCTTACTCTTCAAAAAAGGCGTAACTCTAGAATTCTGTTTGTTCTTTTCTCGATTCTAAATGATCCAGCTTCTCCGAGTTACCTTAAAGATAAGTTTAAATTCCTTTCGATGAACAGTGAACGAGATCTCCGTCCCTCAACCAATCTTAAGATTGCTATCCCTTCTCATATATATATATACGTTTACTTATATATATATATATATATATATATATATATATATATATATATATATATATATATATATATATATATATATATATATATATGTATGTGTTTAATTATTAATTTTATGTGTATATATTGTATATTTTCAATACATATAAATAATTGATATAATTATTGCACCTACCACGATTTCTCACCACGCCCCGGGTTGACTGGGAGAGAATGCCAAAAGGTATTAAGTTCGCCCTTTGTAATCCTTGCTTAAGGTAATTGCAATAAAGAATAAATAAATAAAAATAAAAAAAAAATGTTTGAGGTAGACCACCCTTAACATTTAGGGGGTTGAAAAATAGATGTTGGCTGGCCGATATGCAGAAAAAATTTCACGAAAAGCGGTCGAGCCGTTTCGGACGAGTTCAATTACAAACACCGTGACACGAGAACTTTATATATTTGTCACGTCTGGGCATCGAACCCATGAACACGGACACCGAGGCCAATAGCTCGGCAACGCAACGGAGCCGCCACCGCCCGCCCTTCCGGCCCGCCAGCTTGCAGCCGCAGTCCGTCCACAATGTGATGACGGACTGCGAGATCGCCACCCGAACGGCGGACTCGCTGCTCGACCTGCGCGACGAGGGCGCGGCCGAGGTGGCCAAGCTGGTGCTGAAGGCGCCCGCGCTGCTCGCCCTGCTGGCGGACCTGGAGCGCTCCAGCGACGTGCTGGAGCTGCACCTGTCGCCGGAACACCCCAACGTCAGCATCGTCACCTACGGGATGCAGGTGACACCTCGCTTTGCAGGATTGCTTTCTTTACAGGACGCTCCGCTTCAGGTGATTTTGATAGGGATGTCAAACGTCAGCAAAGGCACTTACGGAATGCAGGTAACACCTCCCTATGCAGGATTGCTTTCTTTACAGAACGCTCCGCTTCACGTGATTTCGATAGGGATCTCCAACATAAGCATCGGCACTTACGGAATGCAGGTGACACCTCGCTTCGCAGGATTGCTTTCTTTACAGAACGCTCCGCTTCAGGTGATTTCGATAGGGATGTCAAACGTCAGCACCGTCACTTACGGGATGAAGCTGACATCTCGCTATACAGAATTTCTCTCTTTACAGTACGCTCCGCTTCAGGTGATTTCGATAGGGATGTCAAACGTCAGCAAAGTCACTTACAGGATGCAGGTAACCCCTCGTTTTGCAGGATTGCTTTCTTTACAGGACGCTCCCATTCAGGTGATTTCGATAGGGATGTCAAACGTCAGCACCCTCAGCTAAGGGATGCAGGAGGCGCCTTGCTTTGCAGGATTTCTCACTCTACTACGATTAGTAACAACAGATGGCGGTCCGCTTTTCGTGATTTCTCTAGGGATCTCGTTTATGGTTTGTTATTTGGGCACATTTAAAAAAATATTCAATCTGTCGGAAAAGTCCTTGGCGCGACAGACTCCGCAAAGTGCATGGCATGACGTTCGTCCCTCCGTCAACAGGCTGTATCTCATGATTGTATCTATATATCTCAAATTTGATTTGTATTGCTTTTGTTTTTACTCTAGAATATGTTACCGAAATATATTTTGGATTTTTTATTATATATATTTTTATTATAGTGTGCGTCCTTGTTCTAGGTTAATAAATATATTTTTCATTCTTTCTTTATTTCATGCTTTGTTTCTTTCGTGACGTTTCAATGATCACAATGTAACTAATGGCTTAAGTCACGCGTGCAAAATCACTACAGGACCGCTCATGTATAGACATGCCGAAGTCGTCCGAGATGGTGCAAAGCTTCAGCTGCGACGAGGCGGTGACCTTGAAGTACCAGCTCCACCACGTGCGACTGATGATGAAGGCGCTCGCTTTATCAACGAAGGTTGGTTGATGTTTGTGCACTCACTGTCACTGCAAACGACTAAAAGTTTTTGGGTCCCATAACAAAAAAAATATTATAGTGAGTGTTCTAAAAACTGTTTCAAATTCTCAATTAATTTGAATATCCAATGGCGCATATTACAAGTCGAATCGCGACACGATACAAAGTAACTTTGTAATAATAAAAAGATCTGAGTTTGCTTTCTCCTGCCCTTATCCCAACTAGGACGAGTCAGCACTATATGTGAACCATGTTAATGGTATTGGCCAGGAACCATGTTAACCGTATTGGCTTGGAACCATTTTAATGGTATTGGCTTGTTTTATATAACCGCCTGCTTCACCCAGGCCTTTTGACCCAGATCAGAAAAAATCATCTGTGAGCAACACACTTGTACCTTGTGGGAACCGAACCCTCAGATTAGTAATAGCGTCATAGAGTCATCATTCACAAACGCAAATAGTGTAATAGATGAGATAATAGAGTTAAAATCAAAATAAAAAACGCGATAAAATCCGTAAACTAGTTACATTTAATAGTGTATGTAATTGATGTTGTTGTCTTCCAACCCAGGTCGTTCTAAGGTTCAGCTCGAACGGTCTACTGCTGCTTCAGCTCAAATTGGAAAAAGAGGACCAGAGGCAGATGTTCTCCGAGTTCTACATCGTACCTTTATTGGATGATTACTAATAAATGTTTTGTACCGTGTTTCTTATTTTCGAACCTATTGAATTTTCCCACAACTCCCTTCAATCTCCAAAAGTGCTGTTGCACTGATCTTTTAGGCAAACAGACCAGAAAGCAACGCTTTATTGAGATTTAGATTTTGCGGAGACGTTTGGCCGTTACGATTTTTCAGGCTTTATAACGAATAGTTTCGTAGTTCCCATATTGTCGCATATAAAAAAGGAATTAAGACAGTTGTGTTTTCTTATATCTTATTTATTATTAAGTGAAAACAATACTTGGTAAAATATAAACTTTCTATTATTATTATTATCGATAGGTCTGTACTGTATCCGAAATAATCGCCAGAAATTGAGCTTTTTTAATTTCTATTATTAGATAATTAGGTATAAAAATAATTAAAAAATAATTATATCCTCTTTCGTTTTAAAAGATGTTATTTTTAAATACGACCTTAATTTAACGTAAACGTAAAATGGACATGACAAGTTCCAGATACAGAATAATGGCTTGATAAAGGTAGATTACATGATGCTAAAGTAATTTTATCATGACCATCTCCCCAGAAAGATTTGATTTCGTGCATTTAACTGCGGAAACATGGTCAAAACTCGTATATGACTTTATTGTTCATGTAGGAGAATCATTCTTTACATGATATTGTAGAAGGTATCATTTTTGTATCCCGAGACGTACGACTTAAGAATTTAAGTGATTGTGGAATATTTGCTTTCATTCGTTCGGGGCCTAAAGTGTCCTTGGGTTCGGGGGGCCCGTATCATTGATACGGCTGACACAGCGTTAGTTACGCCCCGATTAGCAATAGTGGTAATTTTATTTATGTAATGTAAATTATCAGTATTTTATCTGAAATGAATATGATTTTATTTATACGTATTTTATCTGAAATAAAAAAAGCACTTTTAAAGCCTTGTTTAGGATTTGTTCAAGGGAACATGAAGGCATTTTGGGGCCCCCCAGGACCGGGGCTCGGTGCGGACCGCCCACTTCGCCCCCCCGGTTAGTCCGCCACTGGTGTTACACCAGAGGCTTGGGGCAGAAGTGTGGTGGTGAAGAAACTTAAAAACCTATTAAATTAATTACCTAAAAACTTAAATTAGATTCATGAATTCATCATGAACAAAGATGCGATATTTATCGTAGGTCTTCTATTTACAGAAGTTTTCGTTTTCAGACTGCTCACTAATCAGAACTCGTGGGCTAACCAGAACCCACGACTTTTAAACAGAGCATGTTGGATAGGGTCGCTTTATCGCAGGTAAAACAAAGTATGCAAAATATATGTTTATTTTTCACGATTCAAATATTACATACATTTTAAATACGGAATGTCTGTTACATAAAACATTCGTGTGCTGCTAATTTTTTATTGAAAGTTTAAAGATAATACTTACTTGACATTAGTCTGACAGGATATAGTGCAGTGAAAAACATAGTCCAAATGTGGAAAACTCTCCAGTAATAAGTTTCCCCCGGAAAATTAGCCGAAGCAAATTAAAGGCGTTCCGAGCTATTAATTGTTAATTTGTCAGCAATATAAGTTTTGTTTACATCCGAGTTACTTAGTATAGTTTAGTTTGACCAAAATAATAAACTTTTCGCTTACAAATAAAGACTTATTTTGTGCACTGTGAGATTTTCCTAACTTACAATACTATGTATTTAATCACATTCTGTTTAAATAATTATATGGGAAATGTAAAAAAGATGATATACAAATTAATATATTACAAATGTGTACCTCTGCACGGTCTATAGCAAAAGCTACATAATATTTAAGTAGGTTTGAAACTTATGGTATCGTCATGAACGCAGTTTAAAAGTATAATTAAATCCTAGATTTGCTAACTATATAAATTAAAAAGTCTGTTAATACTGAAGTGGTGTAAGTAACAGTCTGCCGTAATTTATAGGATAATTTTGATTTTGATCTTGACTTTTTTCGTTCACTATAACTAGAAAAGCGGTATTACTTATTCAATTCCAACAACATTTAACACATAATCTTTACCTAGAATTTCAATATTTTAATAACATACAGGCTTGAGGGACCACGGGAGCGATTCGCAATTGGTTATTTTTCTCAATATTCTACCTAAGACCGCAAAGATATTGTTATCATTTTTAGCGGCAAAATTTTTTCTTTCTTTAATTATCAAATGATAAGTCTCTCGAAAATCAGTTCAGCAGTAGCTTCTTTCGCTTCTGCCCAATTTCTTTTTTTACAAATAACCTAAACTGGTTATAATAATTTGTTAGAAATAAATATTATATATAATCTTCCAAATATGGATTCAACATACCCCCTGTATCCTAAATTACGCTATGACTAGACTATGCTTTTAAGAAACTTCGTTTCAGTTTACTTCGCCAAGAGCGAAGGTAATTTGTTACATAAATCTTAATACAAATATATTGACTTATCATTGGCATTGATTTATGCAATAGAACACAGGGATTAATCAATACAAAAATTATGAACTATTTTCTCATACAAAAATATAAGTACTTTGTGGTATGTATTGCATTACTGTAAAATCTGTAAATATTGGCTGGTAAATATAACGGAATGTATAACACAAGTGGTATGACAGCTATCGTCAGAATTTGTAGTGTGATGATTAGAACTGAACCTTGTAATAGTCCATCTAAATATATATAACTAGTAAGTTTTCTAATAACTACGATTACTCGCCGTGCTCGCCTAAAGCTACATAGATTGCGCTATTTCACTATGGTACATTGTTTATTTATATGGCATATAGTGCCTAGCTATAAAGAGTAATCTTAACAATATAACTAATACCCGTTCACAATAACATGGGATCCGAGTCCGATTACGTTACAGCGGCGTGCTTTTACATTGCAATCAAAAGTGCACAACGTCTCATATCAAGGCTAAAGAACATTTACCTTAATCGCTGGCCGTTTCATTTAGTGGCACGCGGGGAGATTCGACATGGAATGGCCGGGGTCGTCGCAATATTCCACGCGAGCCTCATATCAACACACGCGCGTTTTATGACAATCGACACTAGTCTCATGTTATTATGCAAGTAAATAAGTAAATGCCAAAAAATAGTTTACTAACTAACATTAATTTCGCTAATAATTTTACAATTTGTTATTATTGCACAAAATTAATTGAAATAAAACAATAGAAAATTTGCACGATGCTTATCAAGCCAGTTCGTGTAAATCGATTCACAATTATTATTCTTCTTTCCTTTTTGGCGGTTTTCAATGAACATGCCAATGAACACTGTTAATGCTCAAACACTTTTAGCTAATATTAAACATAGTTAAACAAGCTGAGTTGGCGGTTCACAGTTAATCAAATGTGTTTTATTTGTAAAACTATTTGGACATTTCACTCGTTTTGATTCTTTATTCATAAATAAATTTTTAAAATTAACACCAACTGTCATTAAGATTTATAAACTTAGAGATAGCGAGTTCAAAGATTGCATCTATGGAGGGTAGAGGTAAGGACAACTGTCTTATGGGGGAACAGCTGCAAGTGTATAAAGTGTATAATATAAGATCACTACAAGTGCAAGTGTATAATATAAGATCACTAAATAAGTCCTAAATCCCCCCAGAATGGATTCTAACAGAATAGCACGAGAGAATGATTATTTACTTTTTAAGTCGAATTTTAGCAACCAGTAACCATGGGATCTGTAGCGCCACCAATTTAACGCCTTGCGGCGGACATTTTTTATTCCTACACAGATTGCTCTGTTTATCTTTATCCTTCATAATTGGTTCTTTCTTTTCTTGGAGATAGTAATGAGATGGAAAGTTACGAAAGCATACAGCGGTACGTAACAAATAACAGTTCCAAAATTCATTAGAATGGCGTTAGCATAGAAAAGGTTGGCGTTTATACATTTATTGAATAGTAATTATTAATTCCATCCCACGGTAATTATTAATTCATTAACTATTACTATTCAATTTGCTATGGCTTTCAATGGGCAGTTTTGATACAAAGATATTGTTCTCATTACCTCTATCCTCCGTTATTAATGTAGCAACATTCTGTGACTTTTGAGTTAACTTAAATATGACCTATAGTCAAATTCTTCTGTATATTATATGTTATGCCTTTTGTATATTATATGTTAAGGAAGCTGGTACAGATTCTATTAGTATCTCAAAACGCTATTTATGTTCAGTTACATGTTCCTATTTTTGTAACATTTTTATCTAGATACATAACATGTTATATCCAACATTATTTAACATTTAACTATATTCACAATAAATGTACAAGGGAACAATTTACATATAGACAACATTTAATCCGGTATAGAATATGTAAACGGAGCATAATGTAAAATGCCCTATATGGTAGTATTATTATATAAACAAATTAAATATGCTTAAAAACTAGCTAACTAGTTCCATTATGAAGATTCGTTGAGTAACAGACAATGAAGTTTCCAAACACTCACTAAATTTGAAATTCGTGTAATTAAATGTCCGATATTTGCGTATACGGCAATATCCCACAAAAAGATCACACTTATAGAAATATTTCGAGTGTCAGTAATTAAACGTCGCTTTTAGGACATGTTTCGGTCCAAACTTTGCCTAGACAATTGCAAGTAACGCGATGCAGTAAATGTTACACGAAGCTGTACTTATTATCGACGGCCCGTTGGTCTTGTTGGGCGCCGCTAGCAACGAGCAGGGCTTCCATTTCAGCCCTTCGCATTCTCACGTTACTGCCGTGTGTCACGCCCAGCTGGGAATATACAACCCACGTTTACAGATTATCTATGAGTCTATGAATTTACATTGTTCAAAATTTTCCTATTATCTGAAAGAATCTTAGAATCCAGTCACGGCCTTCTAATTTTATCTTGTTTTAATATGCGATCAAGGTAACGTTTTTTTAATAATAATTGTTAACATTGGATCTCCGTGTGTACCATTCAAATAAATCTTGAGTTTTTTCGAATTTAATGCAATAGGTGCACAAAATAACACTCTATACAAATCAGCATCATTTCATAAATATCTATAGATTATAATATTGGCAAAGATGAGCGGTGCAGGAAAACATTGCGTGAGATGTTCGTAAAACTTTATATCTACTATTATCTTGCCTATGGTCAAATAGAGTTAAGTGCACACTTCTCTATTATTTAGCTTGAATCAATTGTATACTTTATTAGTAATAATATTTACAATGTTTAAAGCATTTATAAAAGACGAAAGTATAAATGATGAATATAATACGATACAATAACTGTAAGGAATAGTATATTTTAACCATGTAGTTGACAATTCAAGCGTAATCGATATATGCCAATTTTTTCAACTTATGTCAAATCTTATTAGTGGAACAGAACTTACCACTGAAAAGATGCACACACAAACACCAAACATCAGGCAAAATAAAAATAAAATACTTGTAACCAGCAAAATAAAAAACGAAGCCATTCAGCGCAAAAGGTTTTAATAATAAAATTTACAACCAAAAAAATATGATTAAAGCTTGAAAAGAACATGAGTTCGATTTGTACATAAAATAAAAAGTTTGTTACGAAATACAATCTACACATTAGTATATTATAACAGTCCATCAAATGAGACATCAAAATATTTCTAAACATTACTTACTTATTAAGATTACATTACAGCTAACTACAACTGGGAAATAAATTAATTCTATGTTTGGACTGGATTTTTGTGACTTGTTCACAATGCACTTAGTCATCATAAAAAATGTGGAGGAAAACATTAAAGAAAATATCCACTACATAGAAAAATGAGGGCATGTGTTGTGTCTCATACATAATTGTGATATTAAAATCTTATAACTTACTACATAACATAACTTATTGACCAAACAATAAAAATAAAGTTTACAATAAAACAATAAATAAAATGCATGCTCAGGAATCAATGAAAGAGGTATCAATTTCATTATTACTCAACATTTTTATGTTAAAAAAAATTGGTATCTTGTTCTAAAAATAACTGATAAGAAAATAAGATATAAAAGTATATATTTGTTACTACTGTTCAATTTAATTATTTCATCAATTGTAATGTTATGAATTTTTCGGACATTGATTATATACAAGTCTAGATTCCAAGTACGTCAAATTGCACCGTTTCGGTGCGTATGCTATAGAATAAGTATTTTTTTCTCCGTGATAATAATTAAACTATGATGTCTTATGCGGTGGAAAAACTTCCAAAGCCTAATTGAAAAAAAAAAAAAAAAATAGGAGGCAAAGAAAAATGTGAATAAAAATTGAAATGAGAAAAAAAAATTGAATCAATAGCCACTGTGATTCCATTTGGATAAGGCATGTAAAATCAATTTTATGAAAATAGTTCTTCTATCAATGTCAATCACAGATATTTATTGTTAGTTTTGCCCATAGATGATTTACATTTCTCACAGAAAATTATAATGTAAAACTACTAAATAATTTTAATGTAAAATAAAATGTTATTTCATGAAATGTAAATACTACATTATACAATTATAAATTAGCCACAAATATCACAAGTAAAAAGAATCAAAGATCTATTAATATATGGAGGCTGTTCATTTCTTTTAAATGTAAATTGTTGCAGATCAATAGCGCCTTAACGGCACACAAATACAGCTGTTACGTCAGCTGTATTCGTGTTATACAATACCTAACACACATACGCAAACCGAAATGATGCAATAACAATGACATCTGCTCATAACGAATGTCGGATGAAGGGAGGAGAGCATCTAAAAGTTCATGTTATCTAAGTTTGCAACTACGTAAACAGTTACTATAATATACCTTCATAATAAACCACCAACAAAATGCAATTAAAAAAATGTTGAAGTAATATTTATTGGCCATGTTATTGTATAATTGAAATAAAGATTTTAATGGGTGGATTTTAACTCTATATGATCAAATGTCACAATAATGAATATTTGATTATGGATAACCAGTTGTCTTTTATGTCTTATTTACTTATCATACATAACTTCAAAAATAATAACTTAAAATTTTCTTAACGTAAATATTGAGCATAAAAACTAGTGATCAAATTGCTACTGTAACAATTACAACAAAAGTACAAACATTTGCTACAAAACATATTTGTCTTGTAATATTGCTATGGGAGTTTTTAAATACATGGTAAAAAAATATATTAATACGCACTTTAAATACATAGCGCCTGTATTTAATGATTTTAAAAGAGGAGCATAAATACCTTTCCTATTTGATTTTTCAGCTACGCTTTATTGTGAATTGAAATAGCGATTTAAAAGAAAAGTTAAGCCATTTTAAATTAATATTGTGGATGAGTTTGCAGAATAAAAATATAGAGATTGCTGAGCAAATAAATATGTACACAAAAGCTACAACACCAATAGCAACATAATCTGTATAACAATAACAAAAATTGTTCATAGGCCAGTATGAATTTGCGGCATGAGTGTGACAGATGTTGACGGAGATAAAGTCAAATTTAAATTTAATAAACATATGTTTAGTTGAGGATGTGATAGTATTATAATTATTTGTTCACCTAAAAACATTACCGAGAATATATATACATATAATTTTAAGGGTTAAAGCTGAAAGATAATTCAAATCAAAAGATAATTTCAAGCTGAAAGATAATTCAAATCGAAATAGAAATTGTTATTTCTCATAATGGATTTATTTTAATGGACTTTGATAATGACAAGCTGCGTAAGAATTTGTCATTTTGGCTCCAAAAGGACAAAAGATAAGATAATTTTGAACAAAAAAAAAAACCGACTTCAAACAGGAAACTAAAAGCCTTGTCAACACCTATAACATTTGAGGGTTGCCCTCGATTTCTCAGGGATGCCATCATTAGATCTGGGTTTCCTTCGTATCATGGTACTACCCTTGGGATATCACCATTCCAATAAAAAAGAATCATCAAAATCGGTTCGTAAATGACGAAGTTATCCCCGAACCTATCCTATAATATACGGTCGAATTGAGAAACCTCCTCCTTTTTTGAAGTCGGTTAAAAATATATACTCTGTCAATATTGAGAGCAATCTCTTATTATGTACATATATTGGGCAAATAAGGAAACCCTATATTAATATATAAATAATTAGCAACAGTCATGATTAGCTTATCCTTTATATTTTATTTACTTTGTCGTTTATAAATATATTTCAGAAACAACATACTAATGAAGATGAAAATTATTATATTTAACATAAATTGGCATACTATTGAACACGGATGCACATAACTTTTATCGCAGGAAGAATTGAACTTGTGATGTGCTTTTAATGAAATAATAAAGTTGAATCGAAATAGGCAGCGTCAAAAAATGTTATTATAAATTATATCTAAATATTTAAAAATTATATATACAAGGAAAGGCGAAGTCTTCGGTGGGATGCTTAGCCTCGTAATAGAAAATCTGCATTAATACATAATGTAGTAACACAGAGACAAATAGTCGCCAGTAGTATAAACACCGGAGACAATGTCATTTTGTCAGTTTTTTAGTCTAATAGGGAAAATTGGTCTCTCGACTCTTAAAGGGTTATACACTAAAAAATAAGTATCAAATTAATTCCCCCTCAACTGGTCATCAGCGTAATTTCGGCAATAAGATGGCACTCACTACACAAATATTGCACGAATAATTAACACATTCAAAAAGAATTAAAAAAAAAAACCTTATCCTAAGTGTACTGGTGCTCTATCGCGATAAGATTACAAAAGTTAGCCAAGTAAACGTGTCCGAGGTGCCGTCAACATCTGTCTGCGCTCACGCGGGGCGGCTTGGCCGGTGACATGTGACAAGTGACATGTGACAAGTGACAGGCGACAAGTGACAGGCTAACCGCTAGGGCGGCGACTGCGGGCTCACTTGTTGGCGGGCTCCCTCGTGGCAGACGACGTACTCGGTGAGCGTCACGTCGGCGGCGCCGCCCGACTCGAGCGGGATGGCGTTGGCGCGGAAGTGCTCGAGCATGTCGTGCACGTTGGGAACCAGAGGTGCTGCACGCGGCACTGGCCGGACTCGCTGAGCGTCATGCGCAGGTGCTTCGCTCGCCCCTGCCGGTCGAAAAGTACATATTATAGTTTAATAGATTTCTTCGTTATTGGTTATACCGCCATTTTTGATGTGTTCGCAGTTTTGCAGTTCAAGATTGGCGTATGTCAACAGCTTGACACATCTGATTTCTTTTTAGTGTTGCTATAACATTGAAAAGTTTGATTTTTCCTAAAAATATGACGTATTGATATTTTTTTATTTGTTAGTTTTTTACTACTGGTGTCATCTCTGGGCGGGAGCCCCTTATTTCCAGCTTCTTCCATTTGACCGCATTCAACGTAAGCCGGCTCGGGTTATCGACGATCAAGGTCTTTCCGATCGGTTTGATCCTTTGACTTTGCGTAGAGATGTTGAATCACTTGCATCTTCTACCGCATATATCACGGGGAGTGTTCCGAGGAATTGTTTGAATTGATCCCCGCGGCTGGATTTGACCATTGAACATCGCGCAAAAACCCGAGATCTCATCCACACCGCCTCTAAGTCCAGCGATTTTCAAGGGACTTCCTGTATCTGACAACCACTCTGTAGGCCAGCTACCGCCGGCGGTCTTTCCAATCTGTTGCGACCTGGGAACCTACAATGGCAGGGCATATTCTTTCGTAAAAGAAAGGCAACGCATTTGCAAGCCCTCCAGTGTTGCAGATGTTCATAGCGGCAATGATCACTTTCCATCAGATGAGACCTTTTTTTCCCTTAAAAAAACTTTCCGTTAGTTTAGGGCGTGCGATCATACGATCCGATTCATCGAAGTTATTTTCACAACGCGACTACTCGAAAAAAAAAAAGTGGGCCGTCACAGGGCGCTCGGGTCGGCAGATGTGAAATATATACGACTACATACGAATGCTGTTTTCATTCAGCTGACAGTGTTAAAACGGCGGTTACCCTAACAGTATACTCACACAACTGCCTTGAACGAACTATATGTTTTTTTTCTATAATAACTACGTATTCGGCTCAAATGTACGTCTGTAACCGTTGCCAAAAAAGACCTCGCGTATTTTCGTATCGCGCTTTAATAAGTTGTACTTGAAAAAAAAAAAAAAAAAAAAAAAAAAACGGAAATCGTAACAACAAAAAAGAACTAAAGCTAAATGGAAAAAAAAAAGGGGAAGTCGTAACAACAAAAAAACTAAAGCTAAATGGGAAACAAGGGGAAGTCCTGACAACAAAAAAAAAAAAGAAAAAAAAATCGCAAGAGCCTTCCGGCGCGCACCTGGAAGTTGAAGGTGAGCACGTACTCGCCGCGGCGCGTCTCGCTCTGGCGCACCAGGTAGCAGCCGTGCGCGGCCGCGCCGCCGGCGAGCACGCACGCCGCGGCCGCCGCCCGCGCCAGCGTGCCGTGGAACCAGGGCCACTCGCCGAGCGACACGCGCCCGCCGCCCGCCCACGCCTCCTCCGCGATCGAGCCTGCGTAAGCCCACTTCGTTACAGAGTGGCAGCGCTGTGGGTGTTGCAGAGCGAATGAGGCCTGCATCTAACGACCAGTTTGATTGAAAGTGGCACCCGTAAGGGGGTTACAGAATTATCGAGCCCGACACGTGCCCAGATTAGTGTAAAGTGAAACTCTACGGGTGTTGCGGAGCGATCGCGCCTGCGGCACCCGCCCAGTTTGTTGGCAACGCTTCTACAATCCTATGGTTGTTGCCGTTGGGCCCGGGCACAGTCTCGCGTAGAATTTAAGTCTATGGCAGCAGCAACAACAAAGTTAAAAAAATATACTCTTCTCTTAAGTAATGTTTGTCTGCCTTTTCTCTTTTTATCCAAATATAGGAATCGAACCGTCACCCTATGACTATAGGTTCGCTAATCCCTACGGCAATCCGTCGTCGTGACTCACATAATTAAACACACTTTCTCGACGTAAAAATATAGAGTAAAAATTACGACGTAAAAATAGATACACAAACACCCAGACTCTGCGGCCATCGGGGCATCATATAGCTAGCGGTGATTTAGGGGATGGACACTATGCACCTATGACCATTGGTTCAAATGTGGGACGATCCGTAGGGGGATTTAGTGGGGAAAACACTCCGTGGCGCTGTTGGCAAGGCATTGCCTTCGGCGACGGGGGGATTCCCACACGGGACAGTTATTTGTGTGACCCACAGTAATAGGGGCATCAGGTGCAGTCGTACGGGGCAGTCAGGGGCAGTCAGGGGCAAAACGTTCAGGGGCAGTTCAACGCTTGTACTATGGGTAATACAAAACTGATAAACATACTTTCTTTTATAAATAAATACCTATTACAAATAGGGGCCTGTGGCGCATTAGAGGCGGGGATCGAACCCACGCCCTTCTCTACTTCGAGCGCGATCGGATCGTAAATAAAAAAAAATAGGGCACCCAGCTCGCCCTCCTCGGGCGTGTCCGTCGCCAGGTCGGCGTTGCTCGCGCTGGGGGGGAGGTCCCGCCGCGGCGGCAGGTCCGGCGGCGCGGACTCTGGGAGTCCCGCCAACGAATCGGGCGGCGGCTGGCTGGTGGGCGCCGACCGCATGCAGTACTTTATCGTAGCCAGCCACGACTTCATGTCGTCCACGTCCGCGGCCTCGATCACGTACTCCATGTTGTTGTCCGCCTGAAATTCGTTCGACGTTCGGTTCTTAATTTGTTTTTGTTTTTTTTTTTCAGTACTTTCACGTTTCGAATGTAAAGTTTCACCATGGTAGGGCCACGTAATGCAGTCTTCATTGTTGCATGAATTGGCAGGCCCGCATTGTTAAAAGATGGCAACGAGTTTGCAACTCTACGGGTGTTACAAATGCCAATGGGCGGCGGTTATCATTAGGCGAACAGCCGTCATCTTTTCATATAAAAAAATTAATTACTTATTTATGTATATGCAATAACTTATATAAATATAAGAACGTTAACAGTTAAAATTACAGTAATAACATGCATGCAGACAGTTCTTTGATGATGATACAGACTTTTAATCAAAATCAGACCCAAGACATGTTTGGGTACTTTTAAGCTATTCTTCATACTCCTGCATTTATAATTCAAGCCCTCTACAAAATTTCATCCAATATAGTAAAGGGTCCCGTTTACTATTCTGAATATTCAATTCTAAGGTTGTGGATTTGTATCTCAGGAGTGTGCATAAGAAGTTTCTAACTTGTAAACGTCAATGTCTCCATTGGAAGGATTATGGTTAGAAATTAAATAGGTTAACAATATTTGGTTACTATCATTTCACATCCTGGATACTTTTGGATAAAAACTAAAGCATTTTTTGAATGGTCAATTCCAGTATAAGTACATTATACCAGTATAAAATAAATGAATAAAAAAAACAATCATGAATTGAAAAAATTTTAAATCCTATAATTAGATTTTTAACAGAGTTTTGATATAATATGTACGAAACATGTTTGTAGAGATACATAAGGAAATGTTTTATGAGTATATTGCACCATTGTCTATTAAGCATTATTCTTTTCTTACCATCCATACAATACTTTTGTAATTGATACAAGTAGCTATTTAATGGCTGGTTAACACACTGTAATTTAAGATGGTAAGTAATTTTAATTTTGTTTTGTACATAAATTTATCAGCCGATTATCTATATTATTTATATCACCGTGTTCATGGAAGCAATATGTAATTAATATTCTTAATCATTTAAAAAAATGTTACCATAATTATAATTGTCTGAAAAAAACTTGTTAATTAATAGTGGACACAGACATATTTAAACCATGCTACTTATTTACCGATTACCTTTAAGAGCATTATTAATTAACTGTACTATATTAAATTAACCCACCTTCAGGACAAATGTGTTTTCATGATCTGGCATTTCTAAAGCTGTAGTTTCCCTAGCCTCCGATATGAGAAAACAAAACACCCCACTCCGAGGCTTTTGTGCCTTTGGTGGAGAATAAAATTCCAACATATAACCTCCAACTGTTTTTACTAACGCTAATCTGCATTTCTCCCATTTCTGTGGCCCACTAGGCTGCTCTAAGCTTTCTGGTGTCAAATAATTCACTAAACCTTCCTTTCTGCATTCCACAACGATTTTGGCAAGTTTTGTTTTGCTATGTTTGTTCAAATTCGACGACAGTTCAGCATCATCAGAATGTTGTTTATGAAAAAGACCTTTACCGCGTCTGAGACCCTTAAAAGATAACCTTCTGAAAAATGGTTTATGTTGTGTTTTTGGGGAATCAGTGTCTTCTGAATAGTCACTTTCATCGTGGCCGGTGTGCGTTCCGTTCGGTAGCTTGTGCTGAGCTTTTAATTTGCCAAATTCTAAGTCAAAATGTTCAGTGAAACAATCAACGAATTTTTTTAAAAACTCTTTCTGTGTAACGTTGGGTCGAGTCGAACCTTCGGGAGTTCCCGTTTGTATGTATTGTAAGCAAGCCTTGGCGAAGTCCTGAGCGGCGGTTTTAGCCTGACGCTCACAGAACTCGACCCATCCGTCGGGTTCGCCGTCGGACGGGCCGGCCATGGCAAGCAATTTCTTTATGAGCTCCACTTGGCTGGCGGTTAACTATAGCACATAAAACATAATAACACTGTATCGATAAGGTCACTGATTCACCAATCCTTATCTAATTCGATGACAATTTCGCAATCAAAATATAATTGACGATGCTCACAAGGTTCTCGCGAAAACAAGTTTTGTTGCCATATAATAATTGCTGATAAAACAGTCTTTGATACTTTAAAAAAAAATACAAAAATCATTAAAGCTTAATTTTAACGTAATATTTTAAATAATTAATCTTTTAATGAACTTGTAAATGGAAAAATACCGAAAAAGCTTATATTAAAAAATTAGTAATTTCTAGAATAATTTTTGGTTTTATAAAAAGAAAAATACTTTTGTAAAATTTCATCATTTTATCTATTATAAAAAAGGTATATAAAAGTATAAATAAAGTTTTCTTATTACTTCGACTTATTGAATTAAAGTTTCAAAGAATATATATTTCATTACACTATTATTGTGATTTTGTATAAAATGATTTAAGAAATATACAAGAGATGGCACCTGTATAGCATTTGTTATTATTTTATTATTATTTAATTTAGTCCATTGTAACTAAAAATAACTACTAAAATACAGCACTTAAAAAAGATTCAACTATTTTATTTCAATTCAATAACAAAAAACTTTGTATCTATCTCATACCATCTTATCTATATCAGTCGCTTCTTAAGCTGTTTTTGTTTTTTTCTTAATCGGACGAGGGGCTCGTAGAAAAGCATCGACATCGATCACAACATAACCCACAATTTTTAAGCTAATAGCTTAGTAACTGCACCGACCCTGAAATGAATGTTCATCCTTTGATGGAAACAGCAATATTTAAATATTATTTTTCACTATTCATTATTCTTTCATATTTTATAGTGTACAAAATCTGGGTAAAACTAAAAATGTAGACCGTGTGAACTTAATACTTATTAAGATCTAGCATATCGCCTGACAAATAGGAGTGAGTCCATTTATTCACACATGTCAGCTTTTTCATACATAAGGTCTCCTGTTTGTATGGTATAAGTTGGAAACATAATATTAAAAACTGAATTAGCAATGATTTACGATTCATATAGAATTGTAGCTTTATTTATGATTACCGGGGATCACTTTTCAATTGTCATATCAGGTAGGATTAACGGATCTGTAAGCCCCTGATGGGCTTTATCTAATATATAAAATTCTCGTGTCACGGTGTTTGTCACACATCTAACGCTACTTGCCAATAATCATAAAAAATGTTAACGTTAAAAAAATCCATAATTAAAAAAAAATATTTTTCTAACAAACTAATTAAGTAAAAAAGTAACAAAATTTGTAACATCCCATACAACTACAACTGACTGATTCGTACATTCAGAGACTTTTCATTCGTTGCCACAGCGTCGCATTACAAGCCTCTCCTTCTAACAGTATGTTTTGTCTCTTTTAAATTCATTCAACCCATTCATATGCTTTGTGACCTTTACGTTACAGTTTTATAAATAAGGATGTTCTAAAATTCGTTGTTTTGGAAAATTTAATAACTCAGTAAATATTGATGTTTAAAGAATGTAAATGTTTAATACAATTTTAAAAAGTTATCCTCTATATGTGTGTTCATTTATTGTCGCGAGTGTAAAGACACGTTGTATATGTTTATATATATTGTATATGGTATGTTACATCAATCTTTTATATAATTTCTCGTATATTCTGGAGCTTATATGATGTGTAAATGCATATTTTTAAATTAATATTGCAATTTCATTTATTGCATCTACCACGATTTATCCTCACGCCCGGGTTGACTGGTAGAGAATGCCAATAGGTATTAAGTCCGCCCTTTTTAACCCCTTTTTGAGGTGTTTTCAATAAAGAATGAATAAAAAAAATATCGGACGACAATAATAAACCCTTTTCAAATTCATTTCACTCAATTGCGTGGATATGTTTGTTTTTGAAAACGACGTCTCTATTTATAGAAAAGGGTTTTCATTTTTTTTTGACAACAGACATTTTCTTTAAATCCAATCCAAACAACAAACAGAGTTCTTTGTGATTAATTGTCAAATGATTAATTTAAATGATTAATTGATGTAATTATGTAATGATTTTGATGAATTTTCAATTGTTATATTTGTATTATTAATTTAAGTTAAATTCAAAACTTGATTTAAAATTTTTGTACCTACTATTTAAAACAGTTGCAACTTTTTTTAGGGTTTCATACCCTAAGGTTGAAACGGGACCCTATTACTAAGACTCCTCTGTATGTCTATCTTACCCTTTGTCACCAGGCTGAATGTCATGAACCGTGACAGTTAGACAGTTGCAGTTTTCACAGATGACGTATTTCTGTTGCCGCTATAACATCAAATACAATTTTGTATACAAATACTACTTTTTATAGATAATCGTATGGAACCTTTGGTGTGCGAGTTCGACTCGTATTTGACCGGGTTTTTAATTGACTGAGCAGGACAATAAAAATATCTCACTGATAGCGCAATGATCAGGCGCTCACTTTTAATTTAATATACCTACTTGAGCAATCATAGTTCAAATCCCGATGGCGACACAAAATACATTTTTTAATTTCAGTGTTAAGAGTTGACTCATTATGTGCTCGAAAGTGTAGAAAAAATGTTGAGGAAACCTGCATATTATAGAATATAATTAATCTTCTATGCAGATTTACTTGCGTTAGAGTTAAATAAAATCCGTCAAATATTTTTTGTATTACTTTGGGGCTGCCCATTAATTACGTGAGCCTCGATAAGATATCACATGTATTTATATTTTTGTCAAACGTGCGATTTCTAAACCAAAAAGTACGTAGTTTTCGCGGGCCGCGCTCCGTGACGACCTAAGGTTCGGCTTGCCGGTCGCCAGTTATTCCATTAATTTAGCTTCTCTAAAATCTCTTCTAAAATTCTAAAAATTATAAGATTATATGTAAGTACTAAACAATACACGTGATTTTGGGTAGGGGGGAGGTGTTAGTCTTAAAAAAACCTTACCAAGTATCGCCAAGGGGGAGGAGGAGGGTTAAAAATGCTAAAAAAACATCACGTGATTAATGGACGGCCCCTTTAGTCTAATATTATTGTGTATGTTCGGATATATAAGTCCTGTCGTAGAGATTTATGGTAACGTTAGCGCATGCACAGCGCTTAGTAGTTGGGGTAATAAAATTACGAGTACTTATCAAAAATAGCAGAAATTAACATACTTGCCATTTTAACAACGAGTGCCTCGATGTTTTCATAGAAGAGTTTTTCTTTGGAGGATTTTATAAATGGGAACAAGTACTGTTTACGTACAGACTACGTAATGTTAATTCTAACGCGCGGGTGACAGCAGCTCCATAAAAAAAATAACGGTCCTCCATAAATACCATAGAGGGGACCACTTGTATCTCGAATGCGTCATCTGTATCGCGTGGTCGTAAAACGCGCGCGCTCGTGTGTGTCAAATTTCCGATAATCTTATTTTGGCGCGCATCAGACGCATCGATGACGGAGATATGGGGGACATGTTGCGAGCGCCTCAGGCCGTTCACCTGCGAGGCCCGACGACGCATTTACGACTCTTATATTTTTGCGATGATAAAAATAATGACACCTTGACCAAGGAGTTTCCACTCGATTTACAGTACGACCCGATCGATAGTTCGGAATGGTTTTCGAACGATTCCGATGAATTCTAACTATTTTCTGATTAAACTATTAATTCATAGTGATCAAATTGCATCGTCATTGACGAAAACGTATTAAATTATTCAGATTTATATCTTTCTAAATAACCCGTTGGTTTATCACGAATGCATCCGTGACTAATAATTATGACTATAAACAAGTTCTAGTCAATTTATTTACACAGAACCTTTTTCTTATGCGCTCCGATACATAGGTACGTAAATATATTATTATTATTAATTAAGTTCAACATTAAATGATAATGATAAGCATGATATACGGCCTTTCTATAATTCTAAAACAGCTAAAGCTAAAGAACCTCTACTGTCGCCGTGTTTGAATTCGTTACTCTGAACAGTGCACAAAAATGAGAACTCATTATCTTTACGATCTTTTCTGGTTTACAATGCGCCACTGTTCCGTGTTTAAGTATTAACCGCAGCACAAGTAGATTAACCATCGTGCTGGCCATATTATTGGATACGGAGATTTACGAAAGTAATTTTATTTCAAACCGAATCTTACACAGGCGGTAAATTTGATCGGTATACATAATTTGACCTGTATACATCTTAGGAGTTATTATCTCGGCTTCTATAGATGCTGGAAGAAAGCTGCATAACTTGTGAATTACAAATAAAAATAGTATCGTATAGAATAAAAAGGTGTATGTGCTCATGTCTTTTTATTATTTTCGTATTCCCCCGTGACGATTTATCTATAAAATATATTCATAGACCTGCTAACTTTTAGGAAAAAATACTCTGTGACGGTTTTATTAGTTTGGGCAACAGCTAGAGTAGCAAAACGATCCTAAGTTCGGCTTGAAAAAGGGGGTACGTGTCATTCGTGGTCTAGAATTATTCATTAATTAACATTATTGTAAGAAAGTTAATTTAGAGCAACATATTTGATACGTTATTAAGCTCTGCATATAAAGAAAAAAAGCGGTTCATCTGATTTACTATGATCACCGCCACTTATGGGTATCCGCAACACCTAACATGTTGCAATATGTTGTCTACTTTTATTTCGAGATAGTGGATCTCTTGTTAAGTCACTTATCTCATGAAATTCAAGGAATAGCTAACACTTTATGCTTTTTTTTCAGACCTCGGTACTACACTGTTCTGACGGCTCATTCATGCAGCAAAAAGGGCGAGTTTTCTCACAATAAAATGATCCTTTACCCAAACTTTAAAGACTTTCTAGTTTTGATGAAAATACTGATGTATCTTGATCAAAACTAGACATCTTTTTAGTGAGAGTTTGATTGCTACTACA